CTTGGGCTGTCCGCCTCCTCTCAGCAGACGGGTAGAGTGCGGCTCTGCATTGTCGGTCGTCGCACTGGTTGCACCCCGACAGCCAGGAGGGCGCCAACCCGACTCTGTGGCGCCATTGGGAGGAGCTTGTCCAGTGGCCGGCGCGGAGCTGGTGGATGTCCACCGCCGCTGGCCGGTCGCCGCCGGCAACGGTAGGCGGGAGTCGATCCCCGTCAGCTGGTGGAACCAGCCGGCTGGCCAGGCCCCGACGGTGCGAGCCCTCGCCACTCTGGCGGCGGCCCAGTGGGCCTTCTGGACGTCTATAAGGATTTGTTTTTAGTCGAGTATGTTTGTCTTCTTGGCGATGGTGTCGGCCCTCTCGTTGCCTTCCAACCTGCATTGTGAGGGCACCCACTGTAGGTAGACCAACAGGCCTCCAGCTGTCAGTCCCCAGAGGGCTCTCCAGATGTCCACTCCGAGTGAGGAGTGCTGGGCGGCCCAGCCACCTCGGATGGCGACGAGGGCGGACTGCGAGTCGGTGCAGGCTACGATGGTGTCTTCGGCGTGCGGCGGGTTCTCCAGCAGCTAGGAGAGAGCAGCTCGGAGGGCGACCATCTCAGCTCGGAAGCTGGAGCACAGGTAACCTGCCGGGGCGCGGATCGAGTGCTCTTCCCCGTTCGGCCAAACGATTAGTGCCCCCGGCGCCTCCGTCATATTCTGTAGCTCGTTAGTTACAGTATGCTCTTCGCCCTTGGCACATTTCTTGGCTTCTCCATCAAAAATGTCCACAGCTGGCCTAGAAATGGTGACCTGCCAGTTTCCTGAGATATCCAAAGTAGAAGTTCCTGTAATAACAGGCCACCACCGGCACAGATGTTTGTCCCAGCTACTTATACTCCAATTAGTCCTATGCATCTTGTTTCTGCTCCACCGCTATTTTTCCGTCCGTTCTTCGCAGACTGGCGTATTCTTGAGCTTCCCGATCCCGATGCAAATTTTGCGGTAACATTTAAGAGCGGCAACCTTCATCGTTTAACATTGATGCGAAGGGTACGAATTCCATCATTTCATCGAGCATTCTTCCGAGATGATTTGATCCAATTCCAGACCATAATGAACTACAACCCCATACAACACACTAGATAAACTTCATTGTTTGATTGAATAAGCTTACTTCTTTTGGATGTAGTGGCGTATCACTGCCATGGGTATGGCATTATTTAGCGCGGCGTAGCTTCGAACTGCGATGGCGAGTTGTTCTTTTCACATTAACTGCTGGTCAAGTTAAGTCTTTGTAGCTCCTTTCAGTGAGTCTTTTTTTCTCCAGAATAAAATAAGGCACTAGGCATTATAGGAAGTATGCTGAGACTGGCGCCGTCGATAGCGTCCTGTTTTTCTTCTTGCTGTGTGAGTCTCACAGGAGTCAGTGTTTGCAAAAGTAAACTTGCAAATCTGATTGTCCTCAGCGTTATCTCTTATCTCGATTGATGGTTTCGTCTGTGAACATTTTTTCCTTTTAGTTATACGGGAGGCTAAAAGGTCGCCTTTTTGCTAGAAATTATGTTTCGTTTCACATTTTCTTGCCCTGACTCTGACTTGATACCCGGAATGACATCTTCGCACCACACGTTTTCTGATCCGGTCGTGATGAGGTAGTGATCGATAATATTATTTCCTTTTTTGACCATTTTTCGAGCTATTTCTTACTTATTTTTACTGCTTCTTGTGGCCCTATATAATGTATCGTTATTTCTCAAAACCCTTTTCAAAATCAATGTACTAGGGTTGACTATTAAGTAATGGAAGTGCCTTAAGCAATTAAACGTTTTTGCACGTGCACATGTTTTCTTGGTGTCAGTTCATGCGCCGATGTTTTTTCTATCCAATGGTGAAGACCACATGTCCTTAGCTACTTTTTGCTCCAAGCTATCGTCGTTTTCCCAAGAGACCACCCAAACCTGCGGCGCACCACGAAAAAGGAGTCTGGCAATGGCCAAAATCGCGCGCCAAGCGCCAGCGCGAGGTCATCAGAGCTTATTGGCTTATTGTTATGGCTACACAATGGACAATTTCTATATTTTCATCAAAACAATACACATTGGCACGATAAATGACAGCATACACTACTCCACATAATCGCCTTCAAGCATCACACACCATTCCAGCCTCGTCTTGACCCACTCCTGGAACGCCGCCAGAAGACTGATCGGCGCTTTCTTTCTCAAACCGATGAAACCACCGACTTATCGTCTGTGGGGAGGCTGCGTCGCTCCATACACTTAGAAAATAAATTTTCTGATCTTGGTAGGCCTTTTCCCTACAACAAACTGAGCTCTAATGACCTTGCACCCGGCGCTGGCGTGCGGCTTTGGCGGTGGCCATTGCCAGGTGGTGCGCCACAGGTTCGGGTGGTCTCTTGGGAAAACGACGATGGCTTATAGCAAAAAGTAGCTAGGGACATGTGGTCTTCACTATTGGATAGAAAAAAGATCGGCGCATGAAATGACACCTAAATAATGTGTGCACGTGCAAACCCGTTTAATTGCTTAAGGCACTTCCATTACTTAATAGTCAACCCTAGTAAATGACTAGTTCCGACAAATTAGCAACGACAACCAACAATGCAACCAACATTCAAAAGCAAGAAAATGCGCGCGAAGTACGGCTGCATTTGTGAAGCATATACCTCCAGCGTGAACAAATGGCTAACTGAACGAGAAAACATGTTCTCATTTATATACCTTTATTTCTTATTTATTTTGAATTCAACAAAAAAAAAATGTAATCCGACAGGTAGATAAAAGTATGGGCTATCCTATATCCAAATTTGTAAATATTCTGACACCCTTTTCATTGTAAAAAGATGGATAAAAGTGCGCTTATTTTTGGGCCTCCAATGTTGATTTCCTCGGATCAGCGCACAGTCCATATATAGAGAAGTCTGTGGATCAGGACATAACGTTGACCTGAGGTCGTTTTAACGCTAATTCTGAATGGTTAAATTTTAACTCATGTGACGCGTCTCAAAGAGATCAAGACGGTGATGACAAGACAACATATGTACATACCATACAAATTCACGGAATCGAAAGTGATTGCAAAGCAGATGTTTCGGCAGAATCTGTCCGGTTAGCTGTTTGCATTCTTATGGGCCAAACATAGACCTGAGATGAAATCTAACGCGAAGCTAGCGAAAGAGCGTTAAAAGAGCTATCGAATAGTTTTCTGCTTCACTGTAGCCCTTCTATTGGTGGTTTCCCAGTCGCTAAGGTATAACGTATACTAAACTAACGCTGAGGCATGCTTTCGACCCCTGATCGATCTACAGGTTTGCGGAAAAAAGAGCATGCTGCCCGTGACGAGAGAAAGCCGATGATACCCATTTACAAGTTTTCGGGTCATCTCAGGACTCAGGGTCATCGCCAATAAGTAGAGAAACTCGGGACCTGCTAGAACTTAACGAATGTAAGTTGTGATGGTTTTTCGAGGTTCTGATTACGAATGTTATCTTAGTTTTGAACGAAGATGATGACTCCATGCATTTGGGGTAGATCAGGTCAGGTCAGATCGACCAGTACCTAATAGTGGATGACCACCACCGATTGCTTCCTAGCATGTTATATGAATAAGCAACACAACTACTTCTTAAATGTTCAGATGGGCGCTAAGTTAAAAATCACATCAGCTCCAAAAACTACCCTATCAATTAAAAGCACGTTATGAAAAAGTGAACTAAGGTCATCTTTATTTGAATCAGGGATGTCGATTTATTTTAAGTAGGTGATTAACTCGAGCGCACCGGAAGTTTTGTTGCAATCGGCTCCTTTTTGCGCGACTTCTTTGCGAAAGCCCGAGACGGTTCCATCTGGCTCCCTTTCCCCTACATGTGCACTGTACAGCTAGTTGTGACGGTAGCCATGGGGCTGAGGCTAGCTTGTAGTTTTGTAGTTAGGTACTGATCCGACGAATCGACTGCGACCATTTTTTTAAAACGATCAGACGAACGCTCGGGGCAGTTTTGGCGCGTCCAATCCTTTGAGGGGTAAAAAGGTACTAGGATGGGGGCTACTTAAAAACATTGTAGTGCTGGTGTTCCCCGCCCACAGCTAATTGACCTTTAGGTAATTGGCTAATTGGCTTTAGGGAGCTCTTGAAACGATTTTGAATCTGATGTATTTGTTGGTGTTGCTGACGCCTGCTTTACTGACATAAAAGCTAAAAAAGCATACTCAGCATCGCAAAAAGTGGGGGGGGTCGACACCCCCAGTTTTCAAGAGTGGGGGGGTCACGACCCCCCCGACCCCCCCGTCGGCGACGCCCCTGTCTCCAACTCCACACAGATCCAACTCCCAGTCCTCACCACACCTCATCACAGCGCGGCGGACCGTTTCAGGCCCGTCCAAGTGACCGCTCGGCTCGCGGGCTCGAAGCGGGAGCATCTGCGTCCTAATGAGCCGCTCTATCTCTATCAGTCGGTCCCCTCCGGCTCGGTAGATGAGCTCCTCCTGTTGGACGGAGGGCTCCTCCGGCTCCGGAGATGGGGACACCTGTTGGTCAAGATGGTCTGTCTGTTTAGGATAAGTGGAATGTAAGCGATGTACTGCCAGTGGCGCAAGAAACAGGCATCACCGAGACAGCGAGTGTGGCCCGAGTCTGGTCCAGAAAGGAAGAAAATGTGTTTGCTTGTTTTCTTTTTGTACCAAAATAAGTTTTTAGAGGTACGTAGATCATATGCTGCTATGGCTTCAATCCACTAAAAACGCCACAATTTGGGCCTCTTCTAATCACACTTGCTTTACCTTATGCGTAAGCCATAGCCGCCAGTGGGATAACTTAGCCACCTCTGTCAGTCGTCACACACGTGCATTCCGTGCACAAGTTCTGTACGCAGTCAGAAACTTCGGGATTTTTGGCGGCAGAGCAACGCAAAACAAATTCGGAGAACACGAGTATTAGCTACGACGGTTCCTTGATAAAGATCGGCAATAAAATCATTTAAACAATACTTGAAACGGACTCACCTGGTCAGAGCTCCTTAGTTCCATCCTCAGAGTCAGAAGTTCGTCCGATCTCGAGCGACGGGACTGACGGCACATTTTGGCTGGCCAAGCTGCCAGTCGCTCACGACACGGTAATCGGTAGTTTGCTGTTCCACTCCATATCTAACTTCGACCGTCGCTCTCACGATGCGTGCTGATGATAATTCTCACTTACACTGATTCTGTAGCAAAACACCCGACACGCCACTTCGCACTTCAGACGATAACTGCACAGTATAGATCGGAAGCCGACTGACCGATCCTTACCCCTCTCTGGGAGGGGCTTCTGAGTTCCACAGTTTCCTAGCAACGGACATGTGACTTCCAAGGCGGTCGCGGCTTCAGATGTCCTTTGAGCGGTCGCCGCCGCCGTCTGGAAGCGCGTCAGATGACAGATGGGCGGCACCTTTGACGGCGCGTCGGCGGAGTTTGTTGTCCACGCGGCCATCTTGAATTTGCATGGCCGTCGCGAAGGCGACAGCTTTGGAAGTCATGTTAGCTCTTTTATTGTGTGATGCGGATAGACTGTTATAGAATAATTAGTTGTCAATGTCTCCGAAACTCTGACTTCGCTGAATGATATCAATGATGGCTCAGCTTTGTGTATTGCTACTATTTTTTTTGCGAGAACGTTTCTCAACTATGGCTGAAAGCCAGTGCTTCTAAAATGTGCAATACACAATTTTCGGGTATATTTACTAGCGAAATATTTTATTTACACAAAGCAATAACCTGTTGAGGAATTGAATTAAATGTAGATGATATATTTGTTACGAAAATCAAGCAAATTTTGTTTTTAAAAAAATCCTATTTTCTTGTTTGGCAGCGCTGATTTTGAACAACTTCCGCTCGGCTCGTATAGACGGTATATAGGGCTTTGGTATAGACAAATGGCCGCGCAGGTGTGATCGCAGGGTGACAGCTACGAAAAGTATCTGTGATGGTTGCGTGGTGTTAGGGGTGACCCCCCGTCGTGAACAGTGATAATTGCAGTGATATGGGGTGGTATGGCGAGGTGATTGAGTGGTGGCTCGCGTCAGCGTGGTAAGACTGAACTGTGTGTTTTCATGGTGATGGCGAATTGACGTCTGCGCGTTCGAGCTGGAACGTAGAAGGTCAGCATGGCTGCACCTCGGAGATTTCGGGCTGCTTCAGGAGAGGAGGCTTGTCAGGTAAGCTTCCGTTTCTATCACATATCACTATCACATATCACATTTCTATATCATATGAGAAGTGTACACTTCTCATCGATGTCAGGGACCATTCTACCTCAGTTAATCAACAGGACGGAATACGGATCTTTTTTGCTAGTTTGGCTAGCAATTGAGGAGTTTGACATTTCCCGTCGACTGCTTCAAGGTCACAGGATGATAGGATGGCCAGGCCGCTGGCGTTTCTCGCTTTCTCTTCGATTAAATTCATGAGTGGTGCGCTAACGCTCGGCTTCCAAAGAAAAGCCAAAAACGCCAGAAGGTGATTTGCATTTGTTGTGACGACCCGACCTTACCCAAGGTCATCAGCAGGCGGGCACAAACCGAGTGCGTGAAAGTTGAAACGTAGCCCAATATCCCCGCCACGTGATTATCCCCACCCTGTCCCTGCCCCTTGAAGGAATAAGGTTGAGATTTAACAAGGGACAAAACATTATCCTGGCGGCTTGCTTCAAGATCAACTACCGCTGTTCGAAGTCTAGCTCTGGGCTAAACCCCATATAAAGACCGCCTATACTACTTCGCCTGGTTACTAACTTCGCCTAGTATCCCTCCCACCACCTGGGTGTCATGCGGCCTCATACTATCCCTAGCCTGGCTGCCCCATCCATTCCTGGCTGAGGCCCACACTTAGGTATCCTGATCCCCGCCCCGTCCTGCCCACACTGTTCCCGCCCGGTGGTTGTCCTCGCTCGGTGCAGTGCTTCATGCCTCTCTCGTCACGTGCACTGGTGGATCCAGGGCCTCGTTTCATAAAGCGATTCCGTAACTTACGCCGGTTTTTGGGCTTGTATTGCAAGCACATGGGAAGCGATAAATTTATTTCCCCTTCTCCCTTCTGTTCTTGCTTGCAGGATAAATAAATTAAACGATTCAAACTATCGTCATCGCTTCACATGCGCTTGCAATACAAGACCAAAAACCGGCGTAAGTTACGGACTTGCTTTATGAAACGAGGCCCAGAAAGCAAAAGGCGGTCTTGGACGCTGCAGGGAGGGAGGAGGGCATTTTCTCCAAATGCCCCCTGGATCCGCCAGTGGTCGCGTGCAGTGCAGTGCCTCATGCCTGTCCTGCCCCTAGCTGAGGCCCTCACTAACCCCGCCGGCCGCCCTGTAGCTGTCCCTCCCCTCCCCTCCCCGCCCGGGTGCTACCGTCCTACCCTCGACTCCTCTTGTTCTCTCTGTGATGGATGACTCGGCGGCGGATGAGCGCTATGACGCGGCTATCCTCCCGCCCGCAGGGCTCTCGATACAGCCACCGAGCTCCAGCCGCGCCTCCAACGCTCGTAAATCACGAGTTTGAACGCTCGGTGCGTAGCCCGCAGCTGGCTCGAGGGCCGGGCGTCCCCGGCGGCGGCGGCGGCGCACGGAGGCGGGCGCGGGCACGCTGATTTCAATCACCCCTTTGGACCCGGTGGATGGGGGGGGGGGGGGAAGGGCGGCCGGCGCGGCGGCTGTAGCCTGTAGCGGTTCCTGAGGTGAGGCCAATCCGCCAAACTGTTGAAATTTTGTTGGAGATTGGAGTCGTTGAGCGGAGCTGGTTTGTCGCCTCACCTTTTATATTAGTCTGTTGAGTGTTGATGGGTGATGTGGTTGACAGCGTTATGGAATGGTTCGGGTTTGGATGAAAAGGGACGTGATTTCGGGTTGGAAGTGTCAATGCAAAAAACAGTCACACCGGCAAGTAAAGCTATTTAGTTGACCTTGTGAAACTCAGATTATTGTATCCAATTGAGCGCTAACTACTCAAAGATACAAAGATACTCGAAACTTTGGAGTCGATATATTTTGATAATGGAAGAACAGTTACACAGTTCACTCCAAACTGTAAGTATCTAGAGATGCGGCGGTGTCGCATGTAAGCCCCTACCACGCGCAGCCGCGCTGGCTGTCTGTCGTCCGCTCCGCCGGAACAATGGGGTGGGGCGCGCGGTGGGGGGCCTCGCGGGATGGCCCCTGGAGCAGTGATCCCTCTCCCCTCCCCTGCCCTCAGGGCACAGAGCGCCGGGACGCCTCAATGCACCAATCAGCAGAAGGGTTGATTAATCTAACAGAGTTGGATGGCTGTCGGTTCGGCGGGGATTTGCGCTGAACGCCAGTCGTTGTCGTACTGGGGTCAGGGGCAGGGTCACTGGAGAAGGGAGGGGTTGGGTGTTCGGTAATGGGGCAAAAGGTGCCCTGGGGGTATTTGGTTAGTGTGGATTATGATAGGAGAGGGATGATGATTGAAATTTATGTGGGGTGTAGATTACCTTTACGTTGATATGTGATAATTGCAATGCCATACCTATCAGCATTTGTCTGGATATATTTTTTTTGCCATATTTTTATTATTGCTCGTGAAGTGTATGGTACTGTGTTGTAAATATAAAGGTCAAGGCAATAATGAAAACACTAGACCTAGCCTAAAAAATCAATTGTTTCTTATTGAATCTCGACTCTTTCAGCATTGCACAGATACGCCGAATGTTTTGATCAGTAATGGCACCAACTCTTGTTCATTCGTGCGTCCTAAGAGACTGGGAGGAGTAGCCGTCTGATTGGGAGAAGAGGAAGAAGTTAAAGTTAAACGCTCGCATTTAACAATCGAACTCGTAAGGGGTTTGGCGCGTTGTGAGCTATTTTCAACATTGTGCATTTTGCAGGGTTAAAACGTAGGATACCGTTTGGCGTTCATGCTCTTTCAAAATGAGGCAAATGTGCATTATACCTACCTATACGAAAACACTAATGATACTGGACGTAACGATGCGAAACTCTAAACTACATAGTCTTGAAAAAGTTCTTACATCTCCAACGAGAAAACCATGTGCCCTAATTCGAACTCTCCCGGTCATTTAAATTCATCTGCACTATTATCCCAGCTCACAAAACGCTAAATCCCAGCTTTTCCCATGCCACCCTTTCTCATAATGAGCGTAATCCATGCATCCCCGTTCTCTTCTGTACGGACCCCACAGAAGTGGGAGGACACCGGATAGGCGATTCGTTCCGTTTTACATAACAATTACACGGGTCTCGTGCCCTCGCCGCCGCCGCCGCCGCCGCTACCACCGCGTCGCTCCGCCGCTACTGGCGCCGGCGCAAGCGACGCCCGCGCGCGGTAACCCTTCCACGAATCATGTTCCCCCATTTTTCTCGTGTTCGCCCCAGTACGGCGGTGTGGGACAGGGGGGGGAGCGACGCCGGCGGGGAAAATTATCGGCCCGTCATTTTGTCACAATATTGATTGGAGCGCGCGGTGCCGCCGCCAGGGGGAGGGGGGGGGAGGGTAGTGACACCTGCCCGCCCCGTCTGGGATTTGATGGACAGTTTAGTCGTGGTCTGCAATTTAGCACTGCCGCCGCCGGCGCTGGTGTGGTTCGAGGTGTCAGCGCGTCATGGTGTGTGTCAGTTGTGTCAGTTGTGTCATGGCATATAAGTTGTGTCATGGTTTTGGTACTGTGTATTGGTTGTATCATGGTGTGTGTCATTTTGTCGCTATGTCAGTTCTGGCCTCTGGGCGTAACTGTGCCAAATGAGAGCTGTTGCATGCAGTGTTCGCTGCTCTCTAAATGGAATTTAGCTGCATTTTCCCCGAATTTATTGTATCTAAATGATTTAATATATAAATGATAAGACTATGTTCGACATTCGTCGAATGCTGGTCCGAATTATATTAAAATTACTTCAGCTCTTATACCTAATCTTGTCCCTTCACAGTGTCACCGCAAGAGTTACCCATCGTTCGACCTACACCATGCCATCAACTCATCGCCCCACCTGGCAATGTCACGCCTAAATTCAAACCCGCTAAAAACCGCCAGCCCCATACCAACCGCATCTTTCTATCCCACCGCGTGGTAGACGCGATGAGAGGGCATGACACAACGAAGCTCTGCCGCGAAAGGGTTAAACCAGCGGCAGCTGCGCCAGGCGACGCCACGCGAATTGTTCTCTTCACAGAGATAAGCACCGTGAATTGTGATTCACATGAAAGATAAACCGTCGTGAATTATTCACGCCGGAGATAAAGCGACGGATATTGTCGGTAGCGAGTGAGATTAGTGCAGTCAGCTGTCGACGGGAGAGTCGACACAAAACAGCACGTGATTAGCTACCACGATGTTCAAGTGTTGAAAAACACTTTAGACTCGGTTGGTCTGATGTTTTAGACACTGTGGAAAAGGGTTGGAAAGTGATGGCCGGGCGACGGATGGGATGGTTTTCTGGTGGCAGCGATGGAGTCCATTCAGGCTGGGGGCTATGAAGTGTATGTCATACAGGAGGCAGATGTGCGTCCATTCTGCTGCTATTGCTGTGAGCCGCTGCGCTAGGCAGCCGGCGTGTTTGTTCACTGTATGTAGATTATTATTGGTGATAACAGCAAATACTAGGGAACCTTACTAGGGAAGAGCTGGTAGAAGCATACGGGTGAAATGTCAGATCCTATAATATATATCTCTAACAGATGACGTTATTGTTACAAAACTCCACAACAGATTCCTATTATCGTCCCATTGCGCAGGTCTACGGAAACTCTATTCCTATGAATCGTGATTTTACCATTCACCGTAATCGGACATGACCACACCTAAACAACACTCATGTTTCAAATCACCGTTGTATTGAAAACAAAATGCATACTGCTATATACAAAATAAACACTTGCATGATTTGTGTTTTGATTGTGCGAAGCCTTTGAGATGCACAATTGCTTGGCAAAAGTACCCACACATAGAAAATACGCATCTAATCTTCATTGTATGTAGAGCATGATAAAACGATGCTTTCTTTCATTTGCGGTTAAACCGCCATTCTTAACTCCCCTGATTGTCAACGCAGGTGTTTACGCCTTCTAAGATTTTCAGTGAATGCATATTTTCTGGATATTTATCGAACGGAAATCAACGCATAGAAACTTCAAATAAAAGCAAACACGTGTGAACTTCTCACAATCATCTTAAAAGTGGCATGACATAGTGTCACTCTTTGCGAGGTTATAAAACATGTACCTACTTTCTACTATCCAGTATTCAGCTCCTAAACCCGATAAAAACGTATAAAAACTAACAACCCTCTTCGGTTTACAACAAAAGTAATTGACTAAATTGGCAAGACTGCTTCCTTTAACGGCTCAAGGCATATGACGCGCTCGAATGTTGACTCTCAGCCCCAGACAAGACACTTTGCAGACACCACGTGACAATCACAACATGAACCCACACCCATAGTCCGGCTGAAGGTGCCCATCGCCCGCATAGCACGTGGTAGGCATCAGCGAGTGGGCGTGGCCACCGTCAAACACAGCCTGATGATTGGCTGACCGTCCAAAGTCCATCGCCGCCGGCCATGACCCGAAACCGCCCGCGGCGGTCACGTGACCCGCATACGCCGCCGCGGATGTCTGAGGCTCGTACAATGGGTACAGACCATTCTGAGGGGAGTAGCTGGGCTCTGTTTTCACTGGGACCGGCGTGGTCGGACCTCCAAACATTCCAGCATCCGACATCACTGCCGCCGGTTGGGCACTCACGGTGTTTCCGTCCCGTCCCAGGCGCACAGTCACGTTACCCACCGCGAGCAGCACACTGCCATCCGCGTCACGGATTCCTCCTCCGGCGCCACCGTCATCACCGCCACCACCACCACTGGCGGATTCCAGAGTACGAGCCAGTGCCACGATGTAACTGTTGGCGAACCGGAGTGTCTCAATCTTGGTTAGTCGCGTCTCCTCAGGGAAGGCGGGCAGCACGGTGCGTAGCTTCTCCAGCGCGTGGTTCAGCATGTGCATGCGGTTGCGCTCGCGGTCGTTCGCCTTGGCACGCCTCATTCGGCGTAGTCGAACCAGCTGGGTGGGACTGCGAGCGCGCGTGCGAGGTTTGGAAGACCGCTTCCTTCGCGGGATGTCCGGACTGCCACCGTCGCCGGCTGAGGAGCACGAGTCTGTCGTGGTGATGGAGGGTGGTAGTGATGTCATCTGGAACAGAGAAAAAAAAAATGTCAGGGCACAGCTCATTGAACCGTTTGGTGTTGAACAAACAGCTTTGCATTTTGATATGCTAAGATATTAAAGTTGGATTTTGTTTTTTTGGAGCAAGCATTAATTGTACCAATTTAGTGATTGTGGAACCTATCCCTTTTCTCACCAGCCAGTCGTATGGGAAAGGGAAGTTTATCTTTACAGCTGAATCAGGAAAGGCTCTTGAATTTTGAACAGCATATCACAAATTCGCCCATTCATCAAAACACATCAGCTCATGAAGACATCTAGTTGAGATTTAGTTAGGGCGATCGCCTACCGGACTGTCAGTATCAGAAATAAATCATGTTTGGGCTTCTAAAGCGCTGACATGACATTTTCTAAATTCAGCCACCCTTCCAAGCTTGCCTAAGGCATGGGAGCAAGTCTAGTGAAGCCGTCGAACTACGAGCACCGATGTATAGATGCACGGTTACATTGTGTTCCTGGGCTCCTGATTTCTTGTAACAGGGTGCCGCGACATAATCTTATGACTGCATTCCTTAGCTCTCCCTCTTCCTCGACCAATCGCCCAGAAGCTAAAAACGCTCAACAGCGGCTCATCTAAGTTACAGCAGGAATCTGACTTGCTCAGTGCTTCGAGACGTGACAAAAGCCTTCAGCCCCAAAACACTGCGTCACTTACGATAGCAGGTCTACATCATGTCGAGAGCCGATGTTTTTAAAGATTGCTAATTCAGGGACACCGTTGTGCATGACCCCAGGGAGTCAAAATCGAGTAGCGATCACGTACATACCGCCACCGGGCCACGAAAAGGCTGTCCGAGCGATCGCCGCTTTGGATAAACCTTACGAAACCAGGCGAACGAAGACCGAATTGGCAGATATCTCCGCCGGGGCGAGGCCAGACATCACAACATTTTGCACCACCGTCTCTTTTTCAGTGTCAGCAGCTGCTTTTCGCTGACTTTGGCTGCCTTTCACTGTTTTCCAGCAACTTTTTTGACACCACTGCACGCTCCAATCACGAGCGTGGCGCCTTCGTTAGTGAAGAGTCGTGAATGGTTTGCGGTATCGTGGCGGTGTATCATCGTCGGTGGTTGTGTGCGTCGTGACTGGAACCGTGTTGAACGAGACGTGCCCCGGTCGCCACGCCCCGAGCTTTAGCAGATTCGGAGACGAGACAGGAGTTCAGCAGCAGCAGCAGCAGAAGCACGGGACCAGGTATACGGACATGGGACATTTCGGACATCGGACAGCCATTACCAAGTGCCACCCGAGCGCCCCTATAACTAAAATGCATCTATGTAAAATGAAGGATGTCACGTGCAATGTTATGGGAAATTTGCCAGCCTTACTTCGGCTTGAGGACTCAGCTGTTTTTTTTTTCGATCGTGAAAGTGGATAAGCATTAAAGCTCTTTGGATTCATACATTGTCCGTTCATTCGTAAACCGTATCCAATGTCATTTGTCCATTCATTCAAATAATATTTGGTCATATAACTTGAGCGCTATTTGAGAGGTAATATGGCAATGGTAATGAATGATAGTCATCTTCTTAAGACTTAAGGCCTGGCTACACTATGCGTTTTCTGCGTGCGTTTTTGCAGGTTTGCGTGTTTTGCGTAATATCGTTCTAGGAAAAAAGTTATAAACAATATAATTTTTACTTTGGTTATATACAAAAGCTAATATAACTCTTATGTAACTAAAATTTAAGGTGAAAAACATCACAAAAACGTAATATCGTTCTTTTTTTCTAGAACGATATCACGCAAAACACGCAAACACGCAAAAAACGCACGAAGAAAACGCATAGTGTAGCCAGGCCTTTAAACTTACTCCGCAACAAAACCTATCTATGAAAACTCATTAATTTTATTTTCATGTTGCTTTTACGAAAGTTATGAAAGGACGAATATTCGAATGAATGGCATATTCGGCTGTGATCAAGTGATATAATTTTTTAAGCACGATATAATCTAATAATAAGTTGTGACTTGCTGTTAACCAGTACAACAGCGCCTCAGTCGCTAACCTGCTCCCGACGGAGGGAGGAATGGAAAACGAAAAGAAACTTCATACAATCATTTAGTGAAAAGTTATTCAAAGATAGCATGTTATGTCTACTTTGACGCTGTTTTATATTTGGTAGTGGCCAATTCATTGCGCGGGTGTGAGGCCAAATCTGAAAACGGGTTAGCCAACGAGCATTTAAAAGTTTTGGAACGTGTTTCCGAGACATGAAGAGGTTTCCTTGTTGATACACTAATTCTGCGACGTTTTTCTTTTACGCCTAATTCGGGAAAATGTGATCTTTGATGATCTTTGGTGATTTGGGCTCTAGCCCAAACCTAAAACACCCAAAATATTTTCCCATTTCTTGTCGACTTCTCGGATGCGACCTAGGTTTACCGGCACCGGTCAGCAACCAAGTTACAGCAGGCTTGTTCAGGCGCCGTTTTCCTAACTGGACGTGGGAATCCAGAAGCTACAAGCGGGTCCGGTTAGACAGTGCTAAGATGTTCGTAAATACACACTACAAACATCCCACGGCACCAACCATTGCCCAATCAGCAAACAACTCAGCTGTCCAGAGACTGAGAATCGCTGATTAGAAGGGGTTTCAATGCCGCTTTTCTCGTTGAATTCAGTTTTTTTAACGTGGGCCTCCTGACACCATCTCATCTCAAAAGCGTTGAGCAAAAAAAAAAAAAAAAAGACCAAAAGCTTTCTCATGGTGACAACTGAGGTCACTTTTTTTAGACAATTACACTATGTCCGAGTGACACCGCCTATAGAACAACATTAGAAACGTTAGAAAATCAAAATACCTCATGGAAGACGTTTTGACTTCCCAAGTGAAAGAGTAGCGAGCCTGATAGGCGATAGCGTCGATACAAAAGATTCCAATTAATCTGTTTGCCAGGTACTTTTATCGTCTGACATGTTGTTTTCTAACTTTTAAAATCAAACGTTAGGAAGTAGGAACAATTCAAAAGGTGCACCAATTACGAAGCCAAAACGCGACTGTAATACACGTCCCTGTTTGATCCTTGGTTTAATCCCTTTTTGAAGCTGATTTTATCCGATGTTATGAAAAGTTATCACTGATGTGCGATGTCACTTATGTATGAAACTCGTAAAAAAATCATGTTTCAACGAATTCAAACAGTCGAATAAAGTGTCTTACTGTTGGCAACGTTTCAGTCCACCACATCAACATCACCCACCGAGTCGCGATGGCGTGAAAACGATTGTAATCTGAATCAAGTTCGCACATTTTCCAACAGTCACTCACCTCACCGAGATCCTCACCGCCCCTGGACGCAGCTTCACCACGCCCGCCAATGCACAAACCACGGAAGCACGCTGCGTCCCACGCGTCTCCATCCGTGCCCCATCCCTCCTGTCCCCCAGTTCACAAACCGTTCGACCAATCAGCGCGCAGCATCCTTCCGGCGTGGCCAATGCTGGTCGCTGATTGGCTGGCGCTGGAGATAAACGTGCCGCTTTGCTTTGAAGTGCCGCTGTGGTGGTGCGCCGTGCGGGATGATCGCTCGGTCTCACGGGAAAGAGTGAGGAATGATAAAGTGTAAGAAATAAGAAGCGATTGTCGATGCCGTTTTCAGTAAAGCTATCTCTCCAGTGGCGTAAATGGGCTACCGCCACATCCCGTGGCTACGCATCCTGTAGCTCCTGTAGCCTGTAGCTAGACAAAGGGGAGAGACAGCCGTGAGGGCTCACCCTCACTGTCTCCCTGCTCAGTGGGCAGAGACAGGGAGCTTCCGTTCACACCTCACAGCTTCCGACTTGGCCCTTTTGATCCACGCAAATAACAGTTCAATACGTATTCTTAGAGGACTCGGGTCAGTGCACTTTGCAGCTTGGGAAGAATGAGCTGGACTCTGGAGGCAAATAAACGCGACTTACAAGAAATGGTAGATCGGTATTGTAATCTGAAATCAGCAATGTCCCCCACCACTCATCAAAGACGTCTTTTGGAATAGTGACGAGCGAGCGAAACACGTGTTCACAGGCCTTAGTAAGGCCTGTGAACACGTGATCCACGAACGTGCGAACTGATCAGTGTTATCTATACCTATTTAGCCGCCTATTGACGTCGCACCTAGCTTTGAGCACAATCAGCCAAGCCAAGTCCTTCTTTAGCCAAGCCCTTAGGACTGTGGACGTGAGCAAAATTCACAATCTACCCAGTTGTTGAGCGGAAAATGTTTTAAAAGTTAAATCTCCTGGTTTGGGATATGATTCGTGCCGTAGCCATCACCCAAAGGCATTCAGAGAAGCTCAAAATAATGTTTGAAGGGCTGAGGCTGTCTGATGCAGCCGCTTGCCGATTGGTCCCGCGGTTGCCGAGATAATTACGATCAGTCTGCTTCTATTTATTTATTTATTTATTTATTTTTTCTCATAATCACAAGTAAACTCACTCGTTCACTTCGTCCGCTGGTCAACTGAAGGCATACAATATTTGATATTTCCCTGTGGTTCTGATAAACCGTATAGGTTAGTCCGGTTTGCTCGATTTGTGTTTTGATTTGTTTGTGATTGATGTTTATTTTTACCCTAAAAACATTTTGTTGGCAGTCAGTTGACAGAACGCAGAGGCCACAAGAGACTGACTGAGGCTTCAGCACCGAGGAGGCTAGTCCGCCACCGTACCGCCGAATGGACCTGTTGCCTGGAAGCAGATTGGATCCGTTCAAAGGCTAGTCCCGAGGCCATCTCGGGTTATTCTGTATATTTGTAGGCCCATTTTATTGAATTATGGATTGTAGATATTCTCAGCTGAGTCAGCATTCCAAGAATTATCTACATACCTAGGTTTTTATGGAACATAAGACACATTTATGTATATCATCAGCCGTATTTTCTTAGTCAATTTTAACATATCATTAGCCATATCAAAGGTGGTGGAATGGGGTGGGGGGGGGGGGGGGGGGGGGGGGCACCGGGACGCCGTGTCCCCCTTTGATTTTGGCATTTTAACATCAGGCCTATCGGTGTTGCATGGAAAGAATGGGACCAAAAGCCGCCTGTGCCCCCCCCCCCCCTTAATTGAAGGTGTTCCGCCGCCACTGAGCTATATTTCCACAGAAAGTCAGCTTAGAGTTAGGTAGAAACATCAAACCATACCGGATCGTTCCAGCAACCATCAGCCGATTCTGGCTTGCGTCAATCGAGCTATTCTGGTAATAAGCTCATTTGAGTCAGAAACAAGCGCAGCAGCCAGCATAAATGTCTTTCATGTTCTTCTCCAATGTCGCGCATTTGCACCCAACCCACGTTCGAGTGATGTAGACATTAGTTTTGATCATTTTCCCTGCTGGGCCTAGCCTCACTGGGAGAAATTTTCTTCACACTTCACACAGAGCTGAGAGATTGTCTGAAACATCTTCACAACCCCCGAATTTATAAATTTTGGCCAGTGCAGTCAGCAGTGGTCGCTTTTGGATTGGACGCAAGGAGTTCAACATGCGCTGCTTTTGTCGAAACACATCAGCCGATAGGTATGTCCGTCTCCGAACAAGATCGACTTATTGGCAGTTATTTAGCAACGTTTAAAGAATTCCTCGCACTTCTTAACCCTCGCCCATGTAGGGGGGGGGGGGGTTGGTGCACCCCCCCCTGGGGTTTTTCTTAGCTACACGCCGAACCGTTTCAGATAGCCTGCTCAAATTTTCAGTACCCTTTGGGACATCCTTTGCGCAACTTTTGTTTTTTTTTTGTCAAGGTCATGTCAGGTCACGGAGTTATGACGTCATAAAGGGAACAACCTCCGGCCAGATTTACGCTAAATTGGAGATTGCTTCACATTGGTATAAATGCCGACTGACCTGACACACTGATGGATTGTTTTAGAATCACAACTGGCTGACATGACATTGGCACAATGTCCGTTGACATTTTGGAAGTTACTAAAGGTCAAGGTGAGTCAGTGACCTCGGTTGACCTGTAATGACTTCTTGCACTTGTATGCCTTTTCGGGGTATTTTGATTTTTGATGCCCTGAATTCGAATTTGCTATCCATTTCAGGCATCGTCGGTTGTTTCTTGTAGTTCATTTTAGGTCAGGGACAGGTCAGTGACGTCACACGCCTGACGTGACCCAATGCACAAATGACCTTGCAGACTTCCGATGCTCCCAACGCATCATTTTTAGAGTTATGACATCGAAATACACACCAAACGATAGAGAATTGATCGAGGATCACGATAGTGAAGGTTTCAAGTCGATATCTCTTACCGTTTTGCCGCAATCGGCGCGGAAATCTGAAAAAGTTAGATTTTTCCGAAAATTTGACCTTTGACCGGTCATAAGTAGGTCAAATGTTGACCTAGGACCAAAAAATATACCACCAATCGCGAGATCTCTTTGAGAGCAATCCGTTGGTCTTTTCCGCTAAGCTCTACGACGCTCCGTTTTCAAACGCCAGGGGGGGTCGCACCAACCCCCCCCCCTGCATGGGCGAAGGTGGCAAAACACCGTTTACGGGCGAGGGTTAACCCGCGCACCGACGGGGGTCTGCGCCAGCTTCGTACCGACGGGGGGGGGGCGGATGACCGCCCCCCTGAGATCTCGAGAACGAAGCAAGGTAGCGACAAGCGGTAAACGGCATGGGATACGCACGGACAAGGTCTACAATTTTTACTAAGGTCATTTTCAGGTCAGGTCAAAGATGACGTCACAGGGGTCAAAAAATTCAAAATGGCGGCGCTAGATATGGGGAGTTTTTCTCGAATAACTTTCGAACTTGTCAAGATAGGAACAATCTAAGGGCACGATCGTGATCCTCTCGTCAATCCGCATCGTATGATATATAGGTATGTTGACCTCGAAAGGTCAAGGTCAAAGGTTGACCTCAGGTCACGTGACCTCGAGGTTATCATGTATATCATTCGATGCGTCTTGACGAGCTGAACACAATGAGACCATCCGCGCGGCTGTATCTTGCTCCTGTACGGGGTTATTGGCAAAAAACCGCTGGTGACCTTTGATGACGTCACATGACCTTACAGCTGCCCAACAGCAAAACAGACCTCAAGGTAGTGTCGGTTGATCGTATATGAAGTCATGTATGGTATATGGGGCAATTCCGACCCGTTTTAGCGGTAAAAACAGGGAGTTGATTTTTCCCCCATTGACTTATAATGGGGAGGTCGCGAAATTGACCTGACCTTAGGTCACCAATATCAAAATTCCGAGATATGCAAATTGTAGCTACTAATGACCTAATAACATCCTGCGACTTTCAAAGGCCTCCGACATCTACTGTAGCTCTGGCATGGTGACAAAGTTGCAAAAAAGCGACTTGAGGTTGGGTCATTCAATGTGACCTGGTGACCTGACCTTAAAAGTTAGGAGGTTTAAACTTGCACATCATGTGTAAAATTGATGACAGAATAGTCTTACCAAATTTTGCGCTGCGGTTTTCCCGCTATTCGCGAAAAACCTCAGGGGGGGGGGGCGGATATCCGCCTCCCCCCGTTGGTGCGCGTGTTAATGTGCCATGTAACTAGCTGTCCTTGACAAAAGTATTCTGCAGAATATCAACCATTTCCCAGATATGAAAGCAGTTCTTATACAGGTTAAACCGCAGAGGTCAAAAGACTATTACGCATTTTTTTATATAAGTATATTTCACGTACAAATGTTCAACATTGAATGATCAGCTATCCTCAAAAACACCGCAATGGACGGAATATAGCCATTCCATAAATACGAAATAGAAGTAGACAATCAGTTCACAGTTGTCATCTTCAAATATCGACTCCTCGATTCATTCATAAACATGTTTCGACTCACTGAAAACATGGAACAGGTAAAGGTCAGACGACATATTACACATGCTTTGATGCACTGAATAACTGGCGACACGAACACGAGTCAAGTAGTGCATGGCAGAAGATGGTAAACTATGTACACAAGGTCCATCCGTTAACATAATTACGAGTACGCATCAACGCACTATCATCTCGTTCATTGGGTGGATTGGAGCACTTCGATTGCTACTGGCATTGGTACGCCAGTCGCGCCTTTTCTGCAAGAACTGTCAGTCTGGCGAAGAAAATAATACATACAAAATAACGAGCACCGGTCCGTGTAGTAGAGCATGCGATACAGCGGATCACCAGCTACCACGACTTTGTAACCTATAGTAGTTCATCTCATCGAAGTTTGCAGTTGGACGGAAGACTGCTATGCTATATTCGTGGATATTGTCAACATCTCAACAGAAGAAGTCTAACCATGCTCGCTGTCTCAAGGTCAAATCGACGCACTCGTAGTTACAGCGTCAGCATTATGTTCTAGTGACACACTGGTGACTGGAGCTTAACCATAGCATCTCTCCTCAGTGCCCGCCCTCCTTCGTTAAATGGTCGTCCGACTTCTCTTCTCACATTTTACTAAAATATCGCTGTCACTGTTTATCGTTGCGCTTGTTTGCGTCCATAGCCTCGCAAGGCACTTTTTCCCTTGACATTTCTTTCTACATCAGGCATGTCTGCTTCTACTCAGACTATTTCCTCCTGGCTTCTATGCTGGCACGGTGCTGTAGTGTGCACCATCTATCGAGCCTGGCGAGAAGCCGTAGTTCCCCTCGCCGACAACAGATGGCTGTCGTGAACCGGGCGGCAGTGGGGTGGCCACCACTGGTGTCGGAATAGTGACCTCCTGGATAGTGAGTTTTCGCTGACGCCTCCGCCGGTCCCGCTTGTACCTGAGGGGGTTCATAATGAGGGGTTAGTGCTTCCTTTGGAGTCACGAGCTCAACAGCAGAGAGCTGTTGCATAAGGGGACATGAGTAGGACAGGTAGACAATCAGTTGTAGGGTCACCATAATTTTCCAAAGAACTTAACACAAGACATCCAGTAAAGCTGAGATTTCGTGGCCTTACGGGGACAGAAGCAGAGTGACCAGGGGGGTGTGACCAGTTCCCGCTTGTCCACATTCGAAGCACCCAGCTCCCCCCTCCGTCTTTCGCTCTAACTACCCGTCCCATGTGTGCTGTGTCATTGTAAGTACCCATTCCAGTTCCCATTTCATACCTTTCCCCATTCCTAGTACCCACTTCCTCCCAGTCCCTCGTTCCCAGTACCTACCTGTGCCAGTGTACTGACAGCACGATGAGCGCTATCAGGGTGCCCACGACAATGAACACGCCGATAGCCAGCACGAGTGTCTCCACCACGGCGAACTGATACCCGGAGCCGCCGGGCCGCTGTACACACGGCTGGGGAAGAGGTCAGAGGGGTCAGAGGGCTGCTGTACACACGCCTGGAGGTCAGTGTTGTTTTGTTGTTTGTTTTGTTGGGTTAGGCCCTTTCGGTCGAAAGACCATTGCAGAGCCGGAAGGATGATAGGAATTAGGGGGAGACATTGGTCTGGGCAGGCACCCTAGAGAGTCGCCGGGGCTGAGCCCGTCCAGAGGACAGGCCACCCAGCCCCAAGGCACTCACTGCACCCGGCTACGGGGTGCGCTCCCTCGGGAGCAGCGGTGCCGCTCCAAGGGAGCAGCCCGCATGAGATAAAGTTGCCTGTCCAGCCCGGAGGGGGGTTGCGGCGTGGAGGAGAAGGATTTCAGTATCCTGAGGATAGAAGCACGGATAGGTGGAGGTCAGTGGGAGGTCAGAGGGGTAAGAGGGGTCGGTCAGAGGACTTCTGTGTATGTAGCATTGCTTAGGATTGGAGGGAGGGAGTCAGGTAGGCCAGAGGACTGCTGTGTTCATACATACGCACGGCTGGGGGTCGGAGGGAGAAGTCAGGTGGGTCAGAAGGCTGCTGTACACACGGCTGGGGGAGAGGAAGAGGTCAGAGGATGTTGCACGTACGGGAATGCTGCAGGGCAAAGGGGCCAGAGGGCTGCTGTACGCACTACGTATGGCTTAGGAATAGAGGGAGGGGGTCATGTAGGTCATGGAAGCTCAGAGCACCGACGAACACAATTGTACATTCCGCACACGACAGACGGTTAGACGACAGACAGACGGGTGAGGTAGGTCAGCAAAAAGTCACAGCGTCGAACTTCCATACACAATACTACGCAAGAATCAAGATACACGGCTAAGGGTCAGGCAGACGGGACTGGGTCACAGAGTTAATAGAAAAGCATTGCAATACGCGAGGCCATTTGCAGAAGAGACGGAAAAGACGCATCCGAAAGTTCAAAGAGGTGGGAAAGATTCTAAGAAATGTCAGAAGAGTCCAGGGGTTAGAACCTTGTTATTCGTTCACGGTTTCCGAGGTCTCTTACCAGCTCAAACATGTGGCGAAGCCCTTGAAGAGCTTGTACATTGTTGAAAAAAATATATCTTCCCTGAAGTGAAAGCTATTAACCTACTTCCGATACTCAATTTCATCAAAGCAAGTGATACGCGGAGCCCGTCCCACTGCGCGTCGCTCCGCCATGGCGACCCCCAGCGCGGTCCTGTCTCTGTCAATAATGATCGGCGTGCTTCATGCTCACGGTGATGCCTTTAGGTACCACCGCGACACTAACAAAACCGTAAAACTCCCGACATTACCATCTCTCAAACATCCACCGGGACCTGTGCAGTCCTCTGCGCTAGGGCACCCTCCTGGCTCTGTGGCAGCTTCTCCTTCCACCAGGGCACCTGCTATCTCTACAATTTCAGTAAGACCCGATATGCGTGGGATGCGCCATCCCTGCACAGGATGTGGGCAATGAGTCGGCCTCGCAACCTATCAGCTTTCGTCGTCAGGAAGTGGAAAGATGTCAAGGTAAGTTGTTGTGAGTTTGTGTCCCATCTCAGGTGAGTTGTATGGTGAGTTTTGGATCCCAGCAGCGACTAACTTCTCAACACTTCCAAATGCGGTAAGAAATTACGCCATTTTTATTGAATCACGAAGGGCTTCTTTAATGGTTGGTTTATTTTCTCGTCCTAAAGCTGAAAACTCCATAGCGCGGTATACTTTCACCATAAAATCAGTAAATAAATTCGAATTAAGCAATGAACATTTAAAATAGGACCTGGTCATGGAGGAGTCATCGTGTGTGTGTTGGAGTTTAGGGGCGTCTCAACTCGGAAAGTTATATGGCGCCTGGAGGAGTAATCACTTTTACCTGTCACCCGATAAACGAGTGGGCGAACGAGTTTATTTGTGGTTTAGGCAAAGCATTGGTGAGTGGCCTGACCCGGTTAGGTCGTTCTGGGTATCAAATTGTAACACAAACATAATTTCCAGTAGGTACAAACACCAACTGCGATATCAGTCGGGGGAGGTTTGGTCAATCGTTGTCATTTTTAGCACATGCCATTTTTAGCAACCATGTGCCAAAAATGACAACGCTATCAGCTATTTTTGGCAACGATGAAGCCGATTTCACTCCTCAGCGAGGAAATCACGATTTTGGAAATACAAGCACTGATTTTGGAAAAGAAGTGCTGCCACCTGGTGAAAGAAGAATAAACCAGCTTTAATATGGCCGTTGTTTGTATGGTAGTCCAATTCGTTTACGTCCTTTTTTGTGGCCTGAAGTTGGAACTTCAATTTGCAGCATCCGAAAATGATCAATATTGATCGAAAACATAATTTTGATGAAAAAAGAATATGTGAAGTTGAAAGAGGAGGCGATTTCATCCAGATGCGGTGGTTTACTTCTTGAAATTATTTTTGTTTATGACGACCGCCATGTAATGACGGATGATGCGCGGGCGTCAATTAGCCAAAATAAATTCAAGAAGTAAACCACCGCATCCGGATAAAATGACCTCCTCTCTCAACTTAACATAGGTATTATTTTTATCATCAACATCATAGTTTCGATCAATATTAATCATTTTCGGATGCTTCAATTTTAAGTTCCAACTTCAGGCCACAAAACAAACTACCATACAAACAACGGGCATATTAAAGCTGGCTTCTTCTTCTTGCACCAGTTGGCAGCACTTCTTTTCGAAAATCAGTGCTTATCTTTCCAAAATCGCGATTTCCTCGCTGAGGAGTGAAATCGGCTTCATCGTTGTCAAAAATTGCAGAATCGTTGCCATTTTTGGCACGTATGACAAAAAAAGCACGTGCTAAAAATGACAACGATTGACCAAACCTCCCCCGACTGATATGGGTGGGACATAAAAACAACATATGGATACACAGCGTCATGTTCCATCAGTCGTTAAATTTTCAGGTCGATATCAGGTCATGTCAGGTCGGGCTGGGAGATCCGATAAAGGGCATTAATATGTTTGGTTTGTATGTTGCCCTGACAAATATGCATAGGTATGTACGTACACGTTGGCCTAATTCTCATAAAAAATGAATGTTATGAGAAATATCAAATCGAATATGTTGTCCTCTTTTCGTTTCCTGTTTTAAGATCTCTGATGTGAAAGCGTCATTCAAAGACAAAGAAGGTGGCCTTGGGAATAAGCTTTCAAATTTCATAAAAAAATCTTAAAAAATGCTGCCACCTCTGCATCTGTCGTGCCAAGGCACGTCAACCTCCCCTAAGACCTTTCCAGCCCGGTTTATCGATATAGTGAGCCTATGGAACGATTACAATGATTGAGAATTTCGTCACCAGCTGTGTAAAACCGTCAAAATAAGTCGGCACGCTAGTTTGTTTCCGTTGTGTGATGAGCGGTTTTGTCGTGTCAAATGTTTGTCTACATTTGTCCAAACTGGAATACTAGGTACTAATAATCTATTCCTTGCAACAATACGTATTGTACATACACAACGGGCTTTCAATGAGAGAACAATTTAAATGTAAATAATAGTCGTCCACATAAAACGTTTTGTTCGTAGTTTGTCACATAGCTTTATTTCACATAGAACTACAAAAGAGTGGTCCTAATACGGGTCCTTGAGGGACCGCGGCGCCCTGTGACCGTGTTTGAGAAGTGGCGTTGTTTATGTTAACCGCCTGTTTCCTGGCCGTCAGATATGATTTAAGCCACGCATGAGGCTCTCCGATAGTGGCATGGAGGGAGGGAACGAGTGGGACTGTAGCGAGTGCCAGTTATGTCCGGGAAGTCTGGCGATCAGCCGGTCTGTGCCATGTGTGCGCGGGTCGGTAATGACCCCTCGCTGCCGCGCGTGACCTTGCTGGAGTGTCGCGCATGTGGTCACCCCATGACCGTTCTCGACCTCGACAATGGTGCAACTTGCTCGTCGACTACGGACTTGGATTTCATCGTCGCCCCGTCGCGAAGCCCTCCGGCTTTTTGCATCGACAACCGTGGACAGAAGGGGACGACATCCCCCAGTCGACGAGAGCTTCTCTGGTCTGGTGGCAGAATGGTGGTCTGTCGACAGCGCAATGGCAACACGCTGCTGCGTGACCTGACCCAGGTCAAGATTCACGTGACCTCTGCGACCTCGAGTGGTGGCTGGCGCGTCGAGCTGCCCAGCGGCTGGCTGCATTTGCCACCGGTGGGACCACGCGTTGCTGACCAGACCTTCTGTTGGCCTCCGCATGAAGTATGAAGCCTCAATGATGAATGCAGGCCAGAGATAAACGGGCATCTTGAGGATTAGACGCCTTAGCAGAGCCAAGGCGTCTTAGCTTGATGGGAGTTTGAAAAGCCCGGCATCGGAGTTAAACCACGATGGGTCATCGACTTTTCTCAAGAGTCGTCTGAGGCCCTAGCTTTCACTTCCTTCTGATGGGCTGCAGGAAGGCCGCCATTCGTCAAGGAGCGCACTGAAGATGGTGCCTTTTGAGCGATGCGCGTTGCAAACGTAATCATCGGACGAAAATTTAGGAGCATTTCTTTTTCTTTAATATGCTATCCGTTTCTATTATTTCTGTTTTTAATATTATTGTACCCTGTTCTGTCTGAGTGCTGTTCTCTTGGAATTAAAAATAAAGCTAACTGTCTGACAAAAGTCCTCTGTCTTTGAAAAGCCCCTGAGTTTGAGCAGCATTATTAGCCACATGTTGATAAAATATAGTTACCACCCACGTCTACCTACTTATTGCTGATTCAGGGACGCATTCTACATAGTGTCTGCCCTTTTATCCTATATCGATCGCACCTGAAAAGACAATATGTTCAGTGATCATCTTTAGTATTCGAAATGGAGGTAAGAAAGCAATGCTGTTTTAATGACGTTTGGTAGGGGCGGAAGGGGGGATTGATGGTCTTTTTCCATGGTGTGTCAGAAGTGGAAATAGCCACACGGCTTTAGTTCTTCAGCCTTGTCAATAGATGGCAGCACCGCAATATGGGCGGCGGATCGTGCGATTGACGTCAAATTTTCGGTACGGGGACCCGCAGTTGCTACTGTACAGCGACCCTGAGTAAATTGTCCCAGCACCCTCACAGGGAACAACGAAAAGCTGTCAGAGGGCGTGCACAGAAAACCTCAGCTGCTCTTGTACGCTGCTGCTCTTGTACGTACAGGGACCGGCAGTCGACATCAATGTGATCGGTAGTTAATGGACGGGACAGACGGCTAGAGTTGGGGTTCGTGTACAGTAGCAACTGCGGGTCCCCGTACCTACCTGCTAAAAATCGGAGGGTCCGTTGGTATCATACCGGAGGCGCCGGATAGGTATGTGTAATTTGCTAGTATATTTCCATCATTACATAAGCAGCCTTTTTACCAATTTCCTGTTCGTTTCTGTCGCTAATCCCTATAAGGATCAGCGCACAGAGCACGGCAAACCTGACTGAATTCCAGCAATCGTGTACCTGTAAGAAGTTGTGATCAAGCTTGTGATAAGAACAGGATCTATGCGAATCAATTACCAGATAAACTTTTTCCAGCTGTACGTAACAATTCTTACCTCAATTCCTTGCACGTGATATTGTTTGAAGAGCGCCTCTAGCCGGGCATTCACCGTCTCATCCAGTAACGCCTTGGCCTCTGCTGCTGTGTAGATATCCCCGGCCGATTCAATCTGGAAGCAGGCTGCCGTGCTACTGAAGTCAATCCTGCCATCCGAGGTACCGTGGTAGCTGGTGTCGTAGAGGTGGAGGGAGACGGGCGCGGGTACTGCTGACTGAACCGCATCCCGGAAGGAGGCCAGCTGCGGCTTCACCTCGGCTGGAGGACGGCTGAAGACGAGCTTCATCAGCTCCGTGTCCTGAAGGACGAACACCTGCCGAATGGAGGAGCCAGTGCGGTGAGGACGTCAGTCACAGCGTCTAGCTGATGTGCCTCTGGGAATTAAGAAAAGCTATTCTACCTTCTGCGCTGGATCAAGATGGGACGGCTACTTTAACACGACCTTGGGCAAGAAAGGAAGAAAGAAGTTAATGTCAAATCTGACAATGGCATGCTCAATATAAAACATTGTTTTAATGTGGCTTTCATTTGAAGACGGCCACTCATATCAATCTAAATCCCTCATTCCTCGCTATTGAGAAGTATGTAGATATGACGGTCATCGCGCTACATCTCGTATGTCCCGTTCATTTCCCTTCTCACTTTCACACTAAGCCATTGCAACACAAACTCCCCCAACCCCCTCACTGGGAGGAATTGTAGAGCCGGACTCATCACTCACCCTAATTGTCATCTCGGATCGATGATTCGGCTCATCCGCCGACATGGCCGCTGCGTGCACCTCGAAGAACCCTCCACTATACTTGGCCATCCCCTCATTGGTCCACAGCTGACCACTGGCCTCATCCACAACGAACGCGCCCACTTCCGAACGCATCTCGTCCCGGTCCGTGGCGCGCACGTGACGACTGAATGTGACGTCATCGATGACGTAACGCACGGGTGCAGGTCGGAGGTCCGGGTCGACGGCGGTTAGAGCGGTGACTAGAGTACGCACAGGCGCGTTGACCTTGACTCCTGCGTAGGGAGCGGAGAGCAGATGGTGAGGGAGAGAGCATCATTGAGACAACAACAACAGCAACAACGACAACAACAACAACAACAACAACAACAACAACAACAACAACAAACATAATCGACAATATCATAAGATTTTTATCCAGTCTTTTATTTCAATGTATTCGACATTCGTATGTTCCTTAACTTCGCCTATAAACGGGCACTGCTTGTTTGCTATCAAATAAAGAAATAAGTGAATAAAAATTGTGATGTGTAAAGAAAACGTGGAACCGCCTAATGTTTACTGGGAAAATGCGGTCGACTACATATTTTACATTATGAGATAAGTTGTCAAACTGTTGAAAGAATTATTGTTTGGATGTACTACGTCTTCATAGTTGTCGTGACTGCTTAACACTGTATTTCATAAATTCTTTTATGATCTTTTCACAATAATGTCGAGATAAAGCATAAAAAGTGTTACATTAACAGGAAATAAGGTTTGAACCCCAATTTTGCTGTCCCCAAGTTACGCAAAAACACGGCAAAACTTAATTTAAAAGACTGGCTTCACGAAATGGTAGGGGAAGGAGGGTGAATTGCGCCACCTTAACGAAAAACGCTATTTGTAAGAAAACCGCTGGTGATATCAGCATGCACTGGTAACCATTTCAAAGAGGAACTCATTGGCTACGATTTAAGAGCCTTCCGATCAATTGAAAATGTTTCGTTTGCTTCTGACAGCTGTTTTTTCAGAAACATGCAAAAGGGCGCATTTGCCAACAACTGCTGTAAATTGCGCCAGGGGGATGGCGCAATTAGAACCCAATTGCGCCCTATACTTTAACATGGCTAAGTGAATTAGACGGAATGCATACACCCCGGCAGTCTAATGTCATTGCGGCTTACTTAAACATTTATAATGTTATTTAGGCTGGATAAATAATAAATGTAGATATAAATCGCGATGTGTTTTGCCCAGGTAGATAACTTTATATGTGTCCGTACGCTTGTAAAAGTGCAACGAAAACGTTTACTGTAACCGACTTGACATATGTGAACGTTTGCGCCTATACAGTTAAATTTTCAATCGTTTCTCGCAAAATTAATAATTTTTAGCGTTTTGAAAACTTAATAACATCAGTTTTTAGTTTTTATCATAGCTGTCACTTCTTACGCCTGAGTCCATGTTAAAAATGTCGTATTTTGTCCATTACACCACAAGCCGTAGCCTAAATGGCAGCTGCATTATAAGTTTGACGAGAGAAATAATTTGCGGACTGACGACAGCGGGTTGCTCCCCTGCCTGACATTAAACTCCTTCTTTATTGCAATCAGTTAATGATGCATTCATACTGTCGTGATACAATAGCTACATCATTATTCTATTTGCGTCCCCCTGGCGCAATTGCCATGGGCGCAATTAAAATTGAGGCACTTTTTAATAAAAGCGTAGAAGTTATCATAAAGATGTTGAAGGATGTTTACTGTTTCAGTGAAATACAATGAAAAAAAGGGGTTTTCTTTCTAAATATCACTCTGAAAATCACACAAATATCGCAAATTTGTACAGCCAACGGTTCAAAATACTGCAAAAAAGTTAAGAAAACGCCATAACATCTTTGATGGCGTAATGAGCCTTGCTAATTGGCTTCATCAGAGAGTTTAGGCCATAAAATGATCTATCCAGTGGTGAAAATAATGTTTTCGAACACAAAAAGCTAAACATGCCATTGAATCCGTGGGAATGTTGGTGGGCGCAATTGGTTAGGAGGGCGCAATACACCCACTTTCCCCTACACATGTGTACGGTATGGCAACACCTACCGGTAGTGATATTTTCCTGGGTGAAGAGCGGAGGGTTGTCGTCAATGTCCAGAACCTGAATTCGCAGCTGCACCATCGACATATCCTGCAAACGGGTGACGGTCTTCGCGTCAAAACGTGGTTACAGAGAAAAGGCACAGAGGATAATGCTCGCGCAGATATCGTTACTTTATATCCGAGGCACCAACAAAACAACGATAATACGATAAGATAAATAAGTAAAATAAGTAGAGCATGAAACCAGGTTACAGTTTAAACGGAACCTCAGCTAGCGTGCCGTGCACCTTTTCCCATACGCCGAGATATCCCTTTCGCATTATCCTAGCCGTGCGGTAAACATTTGTACTTACGTGATCTTTCCTGCACTGTTTTCCGGCTCTGGTTGATGACCTACAGTTCTGGTGATTTTTTGATAAAAATCTTAAAAAAGGTGATTTCAATAATTAAATTGTGAGTTTCTGAATAGATATTAAACGACGTATGGGAAATATCTTACTGAACTTGCTCTGGGAAGAAAAATGGAAACCTCGGTCTTCAAAAAATCTCCGGCAGTCGGCTACGCCTCGTGCCTACAATTTTTTAAAGACCTCGGTTTCCATTTTTCTTTCCCAGAGCCGTCCAGTAATAAATATTCAACTCTCAGAATATACACATTGACCTTACCATATTCAGAAATCGCACGGTGACATAAACTGACTAGATTTCATGACCTAGCACACTGACCGATATCAAGTCACACATTGTCCCCTGACTGACCCCTGGGTCACATGTCCTTATCATTGACCTCGGGGTCACACATTCCCCCCCCCCCCCCCTGACTGATCTCTGTATCACACACATCCCCTCACTGACCCCAGGATCACACATATCCCCCTGACTGACCTCGGGGTCATACGCCGCGCGCTGCATGCCTTGCGGCGTCTCGCTGACACAGCGGACCGTCAGCAGGTAGTGGTCCATCTCCTCTCTGTCCAAACGAGACGCGACCAGCAGCTGACCCACATTCGTCTCGGTACGGTTAACCGTAAACACACCCTCCGGATCGCCGGCTGAAATCGAACGGAGAAGAGTTTCGTTGGAGGTGAGCTATGGCTAGTTTGAGCATAATTATGAAACTTATTATGTAAGAAAATGACCTTATGCTCATGATACAATGAAATGATTGTAAATGAAGTCTAAAAAGTATTATGATATATTTCGACTTGCGTCGTTTTCAGAATGTCATTCTGGAGAAGAGTTTGTAAAAAAAGTCTATAACTTAAGGTTTGAGCTATGCATCACGCCTAGGCTTCGAATATAGTGAAAGTGATGAAATGAGGTTTTGTGCCTTCCGGCTGCGGATGTCATCGTTTTCCGGTGCTCTCTGGCTTTGATAAATGCAGGGAGATCAATGAGGTAGAAAGATAATCGTGGTCTTTCACTTTTGGGTGTCAACATCATTTAACAATATCCAAGCATCCAAACCTTAACCCGGCAGTTGCTGGGGTATTTCGCCACCCACCGTTTGCTGGGGGGGGGGGGGGGGCGTTAAACGCCCCCAGCCGATAACTCGAGAACCAATAGGCGCAGCGAAACGCACGAGGCGGCAAACGAAAGAACGCGACGAGACGCTTCAGATGAGTACATCAAAGTTGAATTTTGAGGTCACAGGTCGGGTCAAGGTCAGGTCAAACACCTGAAATCGGGCTTTCAGTAGCATGGACTTCAGGACTTCGCAATGGGCGCCTCTCGTCAGAAACTCTGTCAAAACGGTGCACAATCCATCATATAAGGCCTACAAGAGTGTCAGCTTAATGTAGGGGTCAGTCAAGCATAGGTCAGGGTCAAGGTCAGGTCAACCGGGTAGGCACATATCCCCGAAAATCAAAACTGATATTCGCAGCCTATGACACATGTTTTATGGGTAATTTGGGCCGTAGAACACGATGGTGACATTCATTTTATCATATGTGTACGTGTTTGGCTCAAAAAGTTCAATTTCAGAAATTCATGTATCATGGTCGTGAAGTAGTCACGAGAAATTGTCAAGATTCAGTTCAAGATTTTGGAAAATGCGGAACGATAATCAATAATCGAAGATAGCCATTTGATTGATCATGGTATTGGCATTCTAATGGCGTTTACGGCATGTCTGTATGTCTATTCTGTGATTTTATATGATTTTTTGAACATATGCCGTTTTTGGTCGAAAACTCAGAAATCATGACGTCACTAAAACCTCGATATCTCAAAAATTTTCCGACCGATTTTTTTGAAACTTTGTCACAATAAACTTTAATCAATTCCCTACAGGTACCCAAAATTTGGCGCACCTGCGGCGCGCCGTTTTTATGCTATGGCCCGGCGAAAAAAGTGGGGGCGTTTAACGCCCCCCCCCCCCCAGCAACTCGCGGGTTAACCATCTGCTTCTTGTGGTGTATCCTATGGTCCGAAAATCACACATAATCTCAGAAGGCATCGACTCACCCTTCAAAATTGCCGACCTAGTACATCAATTATAAGTTTGAAGTTCCAAATACACTTTACGAATAAAGCAGCAATCTCACTCCGTTCCAAGTGACTGCGATTTGAATGCATACATAGATTAGGTACCCAATACAATTCTTTAATAATAGGAATTGAGGATACCCGTTTTCATTGGTATCAACATATACCTACTGATCTGAGGCAGCTGTTGTCAGATATTCATTATAATAATTCAGGTCTGTTTCCAATAGCTTCAACACGATTATAATATATAAATAGTACTTCAGCTGTTCGAGCCCTCCGTTTACCTGTGATGATGTAGTGAATCTCTCCAAATTTTCCGTCGTCTCCGTCGACGGCGGTGATGTCGGTGACGACGCTGCCCTGCTCCAGTTCCTCAGTTACCACCAGCTCCTTCGGAGGTGCGTTCTGAGGAGGAGCGGTGAGGGTGATCACCGCGTGCACAACATGTTTTTACGCTGGACTGACCAATACAGTGGGCTGCTTTGTGGCAAACTCGTAAAACATACGCACGCATACGTTCATACAAGGCTTCATACGATCATACAAGGCTACAAACGCCTCCGTAGCAAACAAGTTGATTGGATAGCTGCGATTGGATTGATCAATGATGTTGTTGACACCTGAGATGGTCTAATATGACATTCATGCACACGATTACGCATGCATACACGCATTCAAACGCATGCGTTCACAGCAACCGAAAACAATTCGTAGGTACTCAGGACGGTCGACAAGGCATCGGGCTCTCCGAAGCGCAGAAGTTTGTCAGTCATTCACAATGCGTGCTGCTATGTCAAGTTATCAGCATTGAGCCAGCGTAGATGCTCTGCCGTTTGCTCAAGATTTTAGTGGTATTGGCCCGCGGATATTTTGGGCTGAATAGACGATATCCAAAATAATTTATGTAAATACGTAACTCCTCGGCCTAGCAACAATCAGAACCCGTCCTGACGGTATCAGAACTAACGTGTTTGACAGCTCAACTATCCCGTCATAACTTGTCCTGCGTATCGCCCAACAACCGGCCTTAGCTCCTTCACCAGCCTATCCTGTATTCGTTCAAAACGCGATCCCTACCCAAAACCATTATATTCTATTCGTTTACGGCACAACCAACTTTGTCTAATTTAGGATTCTTACAAGGGCACTTTGTGGGCATATGTGTATAGTTCGTTTGCCCCTCACTGTAAACGTCTTTTTGAACACAGCACGAGAATTGCTAGCTGAATTACTGAGAAAACTGGTTGGCGCACATTGTATTGTAGATATGAATAATATTTCCAAAATAAGCTTTGAACACCGACGATTTAACGTTATGTTAAGCGCCGTGCAATTTATTTATTAGTTCAGACATAATTCCTGAGAAGTCGTCTATCCCTGTGGGGCTGTAGGTATTGGCAAATACGAGCTACGAGTCTGTGAAATAGTAAATAAATTTGATCAAATTGATCGTCTGTCAAATCTGGTCAAATCAATGTGCGCCAACCAGTTTTCTAAGTAATTCAGCTAGCAATTCTCGTGCTGTGTTCAAAAAGACGTTTACAGTGAGGGGCAAACTTAAGAAAAACGAACTATAGATACAGATAGGATTCCACAGATACAGATACATGACTCAGTCACACCCCACCACCCACCTTGCTCCGTTCAAAGCGTGGCTCGTTGTCATCCACATCCCGCACGGTGACGGTCAGGGCCCGCACGGCCTGCTGAGGGGGCTGACCGCGGTCTGACGCCTGTAGGAGGAGGTGGTGCTCCGAGGTCTCCTCTCGGTCCAGACTGGCGCGGGTGCGGAGCGTGCCCGTACGAGAGTCTGTGGAAAACGGGGGAGACAAGGGGAGGTGAGTGGTTATGTTGGAGTTGGGTTAGATGTTGGTAGTTTGGAGCGCTTGACGCTGATTACGGGTTATCTTAGATAAGAAAGCTTTGGCGGAACAAGACATGTCATATGTTAGATGAAGGTTTGTGAACGCGGATCATAAGCCTCATGCACGTAAACACCTACCTAGATTGCGATTCCTAGATTTGCGAAATATAAATAGATTGAGATTTCCTTAGTTTTTTTGCACCGTACACACTAAATCGAAAAAACTATAACCGTAATGGTTGTAAATGCATAACCGTAATAATTTCCCTTTGAAATTCTACCGAGAAGCTATGTGTTTGGATTAGGAGCTGGTGCAAGAGAAATTACCACCGTATGCATAGGCAAGTACGAAAATAGCTTTCCGATTCCACGTAGTCAAGTATTTTTGGTGCCAGAGGCCTTATGCAAGACTATAATTGATTTCAGATAGCACAGGAGCAGGTCGGGTCGGTGAAATTACTGCATCCGGTATAGCTGAGAGGCTGCGACGAATTCCTGGCATCCCTCATATCAGCGCCATACTGCTGACCTGCCCGAGGCGGTAGGTCGGGCAAAGTTCGAGGCATATTGAATCTGGTAGCGTCAGAAATTTGCATAATTATTTCGTGTAGCCGATGCAGACTACAATAACAACCCATTACTTCAGCAGATAATAAGATACTCAAAAATGCGTTGCACACATTGATTGGCGGCTGATGCACGCCCTAACAAGAATAAAAAAAACAATCCAATATAATCGTTACCCTACATTTTTTTTTTGGCGCGTATCTCTGTGATAACAATTATTTACCCCATACCGATGCACGTTTTTACCGTAAGCACGTGAGGTTGGTATACGTTTAAATGCCCGCTGAGTGAGGCCCGCTTCCATGTTTATTGTGTGTATCACGAGCTCTCGCTCTTTCAGTGACTGGACATCGTAGCATTGTTTTTAGTTACATCCGTATCGAGCAAAAAGTCAAAACATCGGTATGATCACTAGTTCTGACCGAAACTGAGGATTGAACCGATACTGAACGACGCAGGTCTGTGATTTGAAGCGTTTCTGACCGATGATGAGGAGCGAAGCGATACTGAACATGAAGCGATACCGACCAATGCTTAGGTGTGACGCGATACTGACCGATGCTGAAGAGTCCGTCCTTGGAGACCGTGTCGCCGCCGAGGAAGGAGTACTGCAAGTGGCCGCTGGGGGTCAGCGGGTCGTCAGGGTCGGTGGCCCGCGCGTGCAGCACCAGCGACCCCGATGGGAGGTTCTGAAAATAAAGTCGGAGATGGATGTCAACACGCGCAAACCGAGAGGGGCATAAGCAGGCGCTAACTATATGTTCTGCTGTGCTTTTAGGGTAGGGTAGGGTCGGAGTGGGGAAGAGGGCACATTATAAAGGTCGAGGAAATGATGCTCTAGATTAGTCGGTAATTTCAGAGTGAATTTGACATCGATGCAAGACTGAGGATGATTGATAGTGGAAGGTACATTTTTCCTTTGACCGTCACCGTGACAAAAGATTAACGTTACCGGACTGGGCTGCTTAATCAAATTTGTTCATAGTTTATAGTAGCTTTGGATATGCGTTATCAAATGCTCTACTAATAATTATAGACGATGAGGAACTTGCTAGTGACATCAAAGCCTTCAGGAAGTCAATATTTACATGCTTGTTTGCATATGCAAACTGCATGCTTCATATGCAAACTACATGCTTCAAATGCAAACTACTCCAAACTCTCGACATTGCTTGCACGTTGGTAGGCTTTGGAATTAGATACAGTTTGAAGCAGCCGGGGAATACGATACACGATAATTACCTGCATTATCAAACTTGTACAACTTGGCAGATTTAATTTCCGATTCCTTATACCATCAGATCGCTTTAATCTGACTATTGGGGTCATTGCCATACAGGTAGGTAACAGTTTGACACCAAACCACTAAAGTCTGCTTTCATTTCGCACACAATTTAGCTTATTTTGCACTGGCTCTCTTCCAACTACAAATCCAACCTCGACGCCACAAAGGGCTTTGCGAACTAATCCCACCGACGATTTGAGTACCCCACAACTCTGTGATGACGTCATACCTCTAAGACGCCGACCGCCTCGCCGGGCTCTGGCTTCACAAAGCGCGGTATGCCGTCATTGTTGCTGACGTCACCGATGTAGACCTCGAGTGTGACGTCACTCAACAGAGGGTCGTCGCCCTGGTCCTGTCGGCGGATTTCGTAACGTCAGTGGCTGCTGGGTGAGGCTTTCATGAGGGACTTCGGGCAGGTATTGATTACATGCACTAATGACTTGATGACAACAATGTGTATGGTCTCAGTGCTATGAAATAAAGCTAATTGTTAAAAATACGTGTTAGGAAAAAATGATACACAGAATGATAGTTATATATAAATAGAAAGAAACTGTAGAGTCAATGTTTATGTGTAAAAATTCTTCCTATCTGAATCCCTAAGGATGTTCGACCCGTCCTCGACCTGTGCCAGTAATACATGGGCTCTCTTTAAATGTTTAAACTGGCCATGGCCTGTGACCTGTACAATTTACATACGTGCATTATCTGTGACCTGTCAATGACCTGTCACTGAGAGGTGACTGACCTGGGCCCGTATGGAGAGGCGGTAGGGCGCGGTGCGACCTTTTCCTGAGAGGTCACCGAGTACGCTCAGCGCACCCGTCTCCGGCTCCAGGTCAAATAAACCTGAAATAACGGACACGCTTTGTTGGAACACGACAGCGACAGTTGGCGCTCGGTATGGTGACAGACATAATGCTGGTGTTGATAACACGGTAACATGATAACACATAACAACACGACGCTGTTTTTGTTACGATAGGCTGTAATTCTACCAAATGTAAAGAAGAAGGGATTTTAAGTAGGTACAACAATTAACTTATTTACGCGCCCTCATGAATAATTTCCTATGCGTCTGGAAACATCTTTTGTTTCAAATCCTAAAACAGATAGAGGTACTTTGGGTGATATATGCAGCGTCCAGTGATCTATGTACAAACTGAATCAATGCGCTTCGACTATTCTGTTTCAGATTTCCCAGTGTAAAGTAATAAAACAATCAAATTATTGCAGACGAGCTGTAAGCTACACTGGTGTTTAAACAGATGCAGTACAGTTCACTGGAGTTGTTGGAACTGAGGGACCGGCGAGCGCCGTCGTGCGCTACTCGACTGTTACTGCAAACTCGCCTGTCGAGCGTAATCTGTGCAAACTCCGCTAACGAGCTACGCGATCGGCACGCGAAAATATCGAATAAGCCGAGATCGATGCGTCTGTCGTCTGAAAAAATCGCGGACGAAACCCCTAGCGACCGGGCAGTGGGAGTTTGTTTGATGTTTGCGGCCGCTGACAACCAAAGCTCTAATGCAGTAAGGCTCGGGCGGTGTTGGGACTATTTAATTTGATGTTTTAATCTCTGACATCAAAGAGATTATGAAATAATATTGGGTCGCTGGCATCGGCTGCATGTGTCCTGGTGCAGCTGACATGTTAACTCATCAAAGACGCAATTCTGCTGGGATTTTCAGTTTTAGACCTGAGAATTAGGGTTATATTTGATAAAATAATGGCTCTGTGTCTTTGATGTACAACTTTTCGGTCCAAAAATAAAAAGACTGATCAAAATTCAAAGCACATTAAAACATGTGGAAGTACCAAAACCACCTATGTCAGGTAACAGACCAAATCGAGTGAGCTTATAAAACGTCAAACATTGAAATTCTAACGAATGCATAGTTGAACAAACAACACAGCAAAGCGATGCTCTCAGTTGTTCCGCCAACAAAACTATAGTTATTCAATACCATACCCAGTCTCCACTTCAGATATTTATTTTTTAAATTCGGTTCGAAAGAATGAATTGGTGGTTTCGGACCAGGGTAGCACGGTGAATGGCTGTTTTTGTATATGACACCACCCAACCTCGCCTGCGTTCAGTTCACCGGTGATCGTTTTAATCCGAAGTTTTTTGTTGTTTATTGGGGCTTTATAGGGCTAGCAGACTACAAGGTCATTTTGCGCCCATTAATCAGAAGTTTTTAGCATCGCAAGTAGAAAGTGACGCGGTCGTCCCGGGTCTAGCTTGGCCCTCTCTCGCCAGTCGAATGTAATATAAAGTGTACCTTATATGTAATATGCAAGCTGAATGTGATGACGCAACGCAGACAATGTGGAGCTCCCCGGCCGCGAACTCGCAGTCATCGAGTTAGGCCACTTTCCACAACAGGCCTCAAGAAATATACAACTTCTTTGCCAGACGTAACTGCCCTCGGGACTCATTCATTACATTCTTTGACCGCCCTCCCTGGTTCTCCAGGGCAGACAGTTAACTGGTAACATCGCAACTGTACTGGATAAATTTTCGTTGGGAATGAATTTCCAGCCTGATGACCGTTAGCGTGGCCTGGCGGCGTGTCCGTCGGGACGGCCCGAGCAAAGACGACGCACTTACTGGTGGTGGTCGCAGCTCCTTGCCTTTCCCTAATTTTACCCAACTATCATTTTTATGATATTTTGACTAATAGAAGAAATCAGTGATTCTTTCCTTATATTGACAAGACCTAAGCCTACAAACAAAACAAACAAAATTCATCCTACTTTCTCCTGTCGTATATTATCGAGCGAGCGGGCGCAGCGAGCGAGCGAGCGAGTTTATCCATGATTTAACAGGAAAATATCATTCCCTACCTTCTGCGGTGCCAGCGTCGACGATGCTATAGCGCACGTGTCCGCTGTCGCCCTCGTCCAGGTCGGAGGCAGTGACGGTGATGACTGCCGTGCCCGGAAGGGCGTTCTCTGCCACCACGGCCGTGTAGCCGTCCTCGGAGAACAGGGGACGGTTGTCGTTCTCGTCGGTCACGGTCACTGTCAGCTGATGAGGGAAGGGGGCGTCAGGGGTCATAGGGGGTAGAGGAGAGCGAATTGGGCAACGGGTATCTCTAGAAATGGCTGAAGTTGGCTATTACTGTCAACTGAGTTGCGAGCGGCGGGGGGAGGTGGTGTTAGGGGAGGGGCACAGGGGCGTGAGGGGAGCCGGGCGGGGGGGGGGAGGGGAGGTCAGAAGGTAGAGAAGAGCCCGGGTGTAACGGGTATCTCTAGAGATGGCTGAAGATGCCATGGCCGTTACTGTAGGCTGGCGGGAGGGCGGGGAGGGGATAGGAGTTAGAGGGTTAGCAGATAGTCGGGGGGGGGGGGGGGGAGGCAGAAGAGAGCAATTTGGGTGGCGCGTATCTTCGAAGATGTTTGATGTTTGAAGATGCTTTATATCTGAATGGTTGCTACTTTTGTATAGAGTTTCGCTCGGTTTATCTTAAATGTTTCATCGTTGTTTATACAGGGAATTCCATGCAAACTTTATCGCATAATGTTTGACTAGTTTTATTCATTCTGACAGTTATTTCCTTGCGCCTTAAAATAGCTATTCTTATGAAAAATAAAGCAAAGGAAGGAAAAAAATAAATCTTTCAAACAATAACAGAATAAAATAATAAGCCAATAAGGCTGTTGAATTTACGGACCCCATCTTTCTTACGATAACACATAAATATCGGAATTGGTGAGCACGTCTCAAAGGCTGACTTATTTCACAGGAATATTTTTTTTTTTAGATGACCATATACCTGATGCATGACCTGATGCATGCATGACCAAGTGCCTCATCTATCCGCGCATGTTAGCACCGGCGGCTGCAGGCCGGGCCGCCCGGACCTCCGAGCGGGCCATGTGGCGGCCGGCCGACCACGTGGCGCTCGGGGCTATGCCGGCACTAGAGGTGGCAAAAGATGAAAATTTTGGGAACCAGACTCGAACCAGACCCGGCTGGACATTTCTGGAACCAGTCAGAACCGGTCTAAGTTGGAACCGGAACCAGTTGGACCCGTTCCCCAAAGGTCAATTAATACAAACTACTTGTAAGCATCATTAGCTGCATCATGTAAAAGAGCCTATTTCCCACTGGGAATACTCATGAGCTACTGTGTGCAAAGAAATATTCACTTCATTCACTTCATATTTTGCAATAATGTGTAGTGTGCAAGATGTATAGTTTATGGTAGGACCCGGTTGGACCCGTCAGAAAATTTCCAGGAACCGGTCTGGACTCATATGGGTCCAGACTGGTTCTTTGGACCGGGTCCTCGGGTCCACATTTTGCCACCTCTAGCCGGCACTGAGCTAGCTCATTGTAAGCGGCCGCGTGATTGGTTGTGTGGGCTCCTGCCCTCGGGGCGCCGGCGAGGTGACCTCAGGTCGGCGCACGGGGCTCGAGGGCCAGTTCGTTCTGGATGCTCGGCGGGGAAGTGCTCGCTGTGTGGGTGGAAGTGGTGCTCTGGCTGCGGTGTGGTGGTGGTGCACAATACAGCAAGTGAAAATATCTTAACTGGTGTGGAGAGGAGCTGGACCAGTGGCAAAAGGGACGCGACAGTGAACAGCAGCGAGTCTTCTCAGCGTGCGAGTAGCCGATCATTTCCTTTCATCCGGGACTCATAACACGGCCTCTTCCGGGGTGTGTGAGGGAGGCGGCCACAGTGTCTCGCCATCGAGTCACTGAGCTTAAACTCGTTCCCCGGGTCTTGCCATCGAGGCTCGGGTGCGGGGTCTCCGCTCAGACAGGGGTGCGACCAGCCGGCTCCGGCTAACCTTGCCATCGAGGCGCCGGAGTATCGGTTGATCTGTCCGATTACAGTGGTCTCGCCATCGAGAGGCTGGAATCGGGCAGCGGCTGGCGTCTTCCTCACCATCCTTATCTACCCATCGCTCTCCTACAGTCCTTGTCTATCATCCGGCTAAATAAGTGTCGTTGGCGTGTGAAATACCAGAGGACACGTGGCGACAGCGCAGAATAGCATTACCCAGGCAACACGTTACACTACTCCGACGAGACGAGAACAGCACAAAAACAGCACAATATTTAATTATTACGACATCCCAGGAGTATCGTAAGATGCACGAGTCATGACTGCATATAGGTACGCAAGAGAGTCGTGATGTCAACAGGTGGCATAGAGGAACCATCAATGTCGGTTAGATAGATGACTCTCCCATAGCAGTTTCGGACACTCTTATATTTCCCGTGAGCTTTCATAACTTGGCACGGAGCCTCCGGAACCGAACAGAAGATTTTTCACCTGAACGTGGGAAATTCCCATTTGAACGTGGGACATTCCTCACTGAACGAAGAACTTTGTCATCTGCACATAGGGTATTTCCACCTGAACGTAGCGCATTCCCAACTGAACGTAGGCCATTTTTACCTGAACGTAGAGTATTTCCACCTGAATGTAGGGGATTCCTAACAGGACGAATAACTTTCTCACTTGCAGTTCTCTCTCTACCCCTCCCCCCTCCCCTTCCCTGAAGGCGTTCAGCCGACCCACCTGTGCGTAGGACTTGTTTGGCGGCTCGTCGCCCGTGGGGTTATCCTGGGTCACCACGCGCAGCAGGTGCACGGGCGTCGACTCGCGGTCCAGCCGGACGCCACGTGCCACGTGCAACGTGCCGGCCACGGGCTCGATGTGGAACTGATCGGCCGTGGTGCCTGGAAAATGAAAATAGGGGGAGGGTGAGGTGTAATAGACCGATACGTCTCCCGCGTATGTGAAAATGTCACACGGTAGTCGGTACACCATGGAGTGAAGACACGCTGCCCTTGATTCGCAGGGGGTAAGATAACAATCGGCCCAACAATGTGATGAGGCTTCGAGAGTGACAATAGTAATACAGTTAGACAGTAATCCAACGCATTGGTTAATTTGAAAAAAGTTATATTTCGCCCGTGGGTAACAAGGTGATAGCTCGTGGGTGACTGGGAAGTGTGATGATAGCCAATCGGCGATTAAGGTAATTTCTCATCTAACGAATAAGTCAGTATGTTCATATGTTACTCAACAGTCAGTGATAAACCGGATAAACCTAGCTAACTCACCTGCCAGTGAGAAAGTAACATTTCCGTAGCCACTCTCCGAGTCGATATCTCGTGCCGTGATGGTCGCTATCACCGTCGGATAGTAGGTCTCTTCAGACACCTCAACCTCGTACGTCTGCAAAAGAAGTTATGATCTCGGTGAGGGGGGGGGGGGCGTGACCTCGGTGAAGGTCGTGATTGTGACCTTGGCTAGCAAAGGTCGTGACCCAGGTTATGGGAAATTGTAAGTTACGTGAACAGATGTCATGTCCCGGATAAATAATCGTACCATCAAAAACACATACGTCCCTTAATTTCTGTAAAGCACGGTTCTACAAGCCATTGAGCTCCTTCATTGTGACATGTTGCATCCTTCCTCATTCCACACTGGTCACGTGGCGAAAGCACTGATCACATATCGCCAACTCCTTACCTTCTGACCGAAGAGTGGCTGGTTGTCGTTGATATCGGTCACGGTGACCAGAACCAGCGCCTGGGAGGAGCGCTGACCAGAAACGGCACGGACACGCAGTCCAAGCGTCTGGAAAAAACAAACATATTTATAAACCACACAATTGATTATCCATAAGAAACATGGACATCTTTTAGAGCGAGCTGAAATTATTCGTCAGCTTGTTTTTTCGTTTGCAGGAGTTTTAGTTACATCATAATAAAACTACGGTAACGTTTCATTTTCAGCCTTTTACCTTATTCTCCATGGTGTCAAAGTCCAGCCGTCGGTTGATCATCACTTCGCCGACACTCTCATCCACCGAGAACCAGTCGTCGACGTCCGAGCCGGCTATCTCTTCGTACCGGGTCACAGCCTGACCTGGATGAGTCAAACGGCGGGGTCATACGGCATTAGTAGTGGGTTATTCTCAAAATGTGTATAGTAGTTCGTATTACAGTATAACCAAATTCGTGTTACAGGATTACTCATAAGTGATATGCGTTCCAGTTCACACCTTTTCTCAGCTTCCATCTTTTCTATTTGCACGGCCAAACTTCAATCTATGGAGCGTTGTAAACGGCATTGCTATTGAGCTAAAGGCTCTAAATAAGACGGCTTTTTTATTTACTGAGTAAGTATCCATGTTCCCCTCAGGCTTAGACACTCGGCGCACAGCAAAAACACCTTCCTGACAATTCACCAGCACGAATAGCCCCGCTCTAGTGAGTTCCCTAACCTGACACGGGGTCCTTTGCGCGCAGTGTGTAGATAGTTGACCCGGACTGACCCTCCTCGGGTACCGACACACCAATGACCGGGTCACTGGGCAGCCAGGGCGCCTCGAACACGGGCTTGTTGTCACTGAACGCCTGAATGAACACCGTCAACTCGGCTGGAAAAGAAGGCAGCAGCAGTAAGGACACTTGGCGTGTCGCATCCAGGCCGATGAGAGAGACAAGGCAGTGTCACTGACAGGCTTTGAAAGCAGCGCAGCGATGTGAAAGAGCATCAAACAACTGCATCATTTGTACAGACCGAATGGGCGTCAGCTTTTTGTGGTAGTGTTATTGACATCAAGAAACAAGAGACGATTGACTCACCCTATGATTATTTCTGAACATTTGATGAGCTTGTTTTTACCACGAACATCATAATTGGTTTGAGTTCATCGTTCATCGCACTTCTAGCCAGTGTATGGTAAAAAAAAAACTAGACAATTTAACGATAATCGACACATCTGTCTCTTTCTGTGTAGTCACCCAGACATCAAAAGCCAGCAGCAGCTCATCAAAACATCAAACCCAGTCATTTATTTATTATTAATTAATTTATTTATTAATCTATTTATTTTTCTATACATACAATATTCCCATCCATCATCATGGGTTTTCAGTTGAGGTGAATATGAGATGTCAAACACAATACTATGGTAAGGATACGGATAGGATGAGGGGCATTGTGGAAGGATAAGGGACATTAAAGGGACTATCCCACCTTCTAAAATGTTGTTAAAACCAGTTAAATTGTGCCCGACTTTATGGATTGGATGACCAGGAACACGGTTCTGGCATTTATTTTTCATTAAACATCTTAGGCTTCCCATATTCCAAACACAAACTTTCAAATATGTGACGTCACAGCCCAAAATTACCTCCTTCCCCAGGCCACATTACTGTCATAAAGCTGATTCTTTTTACTCTGTAGGCAGTAGGCACCACAACAAAGTTCAGACCAAGTTTTAAGCGATTTTTCAACGAACAAACCCATTTAAATCAGAATGACTAAACGAGGTGACGTCACACTAACGGTCGCTCCATGTTGAAGATAGGGCCTTGTACAAGGCCCATTTTCAAATGAAGGGAACGAATTTCTTCAACACCAAGAGGCCGCGGGGGTTGCAACCTAGATAGATAGTGGTTTCTAATCTGAACCTCGCCGCAAACTTGGCTATCTCAACTCAAACCCCATGTTAAAGGTGGGATAGTTCCTTTAACGCCATGTTGGCAGCACCCACTCTTCAGTGGCCTTATTCAGAAGCATGGGTAGGTTCTAGGAAGAGGTAGGAGCATGAGATAAAGGTAGCCGGCTATTTTTCTGAGGGGTGAGCTCTTACCCATTAACGAGTGACCCCGAGGATTGGGTAAGGGACTTTGTGAAAGCCAACCCAGTTTTTTTTTGCAAACTACAAACCAAAGCACACGGCTAACTTTGCAAACCAACAAACCTTAACTTCTTTACAAACCAGACAACTTACCCCTTCGGTATTTACCCCCAGGATAGGTGTAAAATTATATTATGTCTACGGCCACTGTCAGGCCACTGGGCACTGTACAGATACGCCAATATACCTGTGTCGGACCGCTCCCCGATCTCCGTGTTGACGTCTGTGACTCGTATCTGACAGACCAGGACGGCCGCCAGACTGTGGTCCAGCGTGGTGTTCACAGTCACCTCTCCGGTCCGGGCGTTCACGCTGGCGGAAACGGAGGTTATAGTTAAAATGGTGACTTACGGATGATTGACGGGAATTGGAGGGGAACTTTCGGGAACGTTGACCCATTGTGCAACTAAAAATAGCAAGTGCTATAATGATGTTACCGTTGGTATACGAAATCAGTTGTTTTGAAACGTATTTGCTTACTTTTCAAACAACCTGACATGCCAGTAGTTTGCAATCTACCTAGTTACGTTGCAAACTAACTGACCGTTTAGTTATGGATATTTTTGAATTGGTAAGCGCTCTAATTTGGCTTCCTTTCATTAACACGCATTATTATTATTTTTGTTAGCTAAAGTAAATAAACAACCGACACCGGAGTTGGTCTACTCACGCCAGCCACCGGCTGAAGTCGGTGACATTAGCGGGCACGGTGACACCGGCCCGGTCCCGCGCCATAATCGGTAGGACCAGCTGGTAGCGCAGTTCGGCCGTCTGGTCAAGGTCGGCCGCGGCGACGGTCACCACAGAGCGACCCGGCTGGGAAGAAAGGGGGGGGGGGGGCATTACAGAAGGCGATCTGGCTGAGGAAAGGGAGCGTGGGGAGGTCATTAAACAGCTGCCTAGCTTGGAAGGGCAGTCTGGGGAAGGGAGAGGGCACCACAGAACGACCCGGCTGGGGAGGAGAAGGGGAGAGGTCATTTACTCCTCACAAAATGACACGGTTGTGTACAAGGTCATTTCAGAGCGACCTGGCTGGGGCTAGGGGATAGTTTTATTGTGTCTTGTTTCTTTTTTATTTTATTTTTGATATGTCACCGTCAGGCCGGTGGGGAACCCCATGGAGTGCAGGTTGTAGTGATTATTACTAAGTGACCCGGCAGGAAAGGAGTGCAAGGAGCAGGTGATTGAAAAGGTTGCCTGTTCGAGGAAAGCGATGGATTAGGGCGACAGTGCAGGCTGCAGAGGTCAAAAGTGTAACAGGGAACAGCTACGGCTAGACAGAGGCGCCGGAAAGAAAAAGAGCGGAGAGAGTGACAGGGGGTGGAGAGAGGACTGCAGGGGTAGGAGCGAGGGAGGGAGCCAATATTGTGACTTGGACTCTTATATAACAAAAATCCACATCACCATGTAATTAGCGAGTTCTCGGAAAATGACAGGCGGATGAAAGCGAATGCATCATCCCGGACTTGCGGAACAACGGGCCTCCACTTCAGCTAAGAAGAACAAAAACTAATTAAAGGTCAAATTTGATCTCGTGTTACCCATCCATTTGATCCACCATATTAGTTATTACATCCCACGAACAAGCAGTTCAATGTCACCCATTGACAAATCAACATCAAATACGACTAGTGCTCACTTTCCACCCAGACACCGTATCATTTACTCCATTTACTCCAACCGGACACACGAAAACATCACATCAAACAATCACATCATAGTGTATAACTGCCTTACATCACCCCTAGCCACCAAACACCACTACCTACACACTGAAAGTATTCTCATCGCTCATTGCACGTTGCTACCCGCGATGATTCCATCCATTAACCCCTCCCCCATTAAACCCCACGCCTGCTTTTAGTTCACTCCCCATAAAGCACCTGGAGTTCACTCACCTGTGAATTTTCCGGCACATATTCCACGTAGGAGTTGGGCTCAAAGCGCGGCGGTGAGTCGTTGATATCCCCGACTGTAATGGTGACCTGTGCGGTGCCCGTTTTCCTCGGTTGACCTCGGTCAACGGCGTGGATGATGAGGTCGTACTCGGGCTGACCTCCACGTTCCAGGTCCAGCACTGCTCCTGGGCGAGAGGTCATGGGTCAGGTCAGGGGAAGGTCACGGTCAGCTCACTAGCCAGTGAGGCGCGTGTTGGGGCGACAGACGAGCGAGCGAGAGCCACCCTGCATGTGGCATAAGTGTGGACTGTGAAGTGAGGCCTCGAAATGACTTATGCCGGGGCATCCTTCAACCAGGAGCTACAGGCGTGTAGCTTCAGCCCGAAAGTATTTCAGTCCCAAGTCACTCGCGTTACGGAATATTTCCCAGTAATGCGTGGGTTAACCACCAACCTTCTCTCCTCAGTTCTCATGCATATTTCCAAGAGGCCAGTCGACCTGCCTTGATCTCTAAACAGACCCACGTGCGAACCCTCCCTGATTCCCAGAGCCCAACCCCAAACTTCTCCAACATCCGACAAACCCTGCGTACCTTCCCTCACGGATATCTCTCCTCGCCCGTTAATCTGAAAAGTATCGGCAGCTCCCTCCTGCAGATAATACGCCAGCTCGGCATCAGAGGCGTCGGGATCATTGGCGGAGACACGAAGCACGCGCTGACCCGCCGACGCCGTCTCGTTGATGGATGCCGAGTAGGGCGATGAGCGGAAGATGGGAGCTTCGTTGGAGTCGCGACCGACCACCACAAACACACTGTGGGCAGGGGGAGGGAAGGGAAGCTGTAAGGCTTGGTACTAAGTATAGAGCATGATTGGCTCACGCTAGAGTTCTGACAATCGGTTATTGCAGCAGTGATGCAATAAATGTACGCATCGGTGGTAGATAAGTCTGACGTTTTTATTATATCATAATCTTACCAGTGGCACATACGCGGAATAAATCGCACGTTGATCGTCTTATGCAAGCGCAAGAAAAAGTGCATATCAAATACAGCTATCATCTCTCTCTCAAACAAAAAACTGGCTCTATTATGATTAGACACAATCGGCTTATGAATTTGGCAAGAATAAAACCACACAACATACGCATTATTTATTACCCATTATGTGATCCTAATGGACCCTGATGTGATTTTCCGCTGAATCTCCCACTCGAATAAACTGTCCGATAATATCGTTTATTTATAATTTGTTCTAAGGTGATCTTTGGGTGCGGGAACTGCTGGGGAAGTGACGGGAGTTCCCCGTGAATAGCTTTCCGCTTCTCTGATGCATCCAAGCCTACACAAAGAAGATGTTTTGTAGCGGCATCCGTTAAGTTTTTCATTTATGTCCATTATTCCAGTCCAACAATTTGGAACAGAATGGAATGACTCGTTCTCATTGTTGACTACCGTGTGCTGTGCTCTACATAGCTGACAAACAACTCCTCGTGCTGTTTTCTTCTTACCATCCCCGCGGCGAAAGTCACTTACCGCACGTTACTGCTGAGAGGAGGCTGACCACTGTCCGTGGCTTCAATGACCAGGTCAAACCGGCCACTGGCAGTGTCACTGTGCCGCACGGCGCGTGCCACAGTGACCTGACCCGAGGTCGGGTCAACGGCGAATGTAGCGTTGAGGTTACCCTCGATGATTGCGTAAGTGACGGCTGATTGACCATCCTCGTCAGCGTCAGTTGCCTGGGGAGGGATGGGTCAGGTCAGTCAGGTCATCCAGGTCAAATCGAGTGTGCCTGATCGGATCAGGTCAGGCCAGGCCAGGTCAGGTCAGTCAGGTCCTGACCTGACTGACCTTGTGCTTGGAAACTCGGGAGAGGTTTGGTTCGGAGAGGAGAGGTTTGCAGAGGTTTGCACTCGAGATTGAGTTATTGTAAAAGTGAATTAAAAGTGAATTGTATGGGTTGAACGATAATTTTGCTATCGTGGAAACATGATGTCTTCACAGTATTTCATAGAACATCCAGCATATTTTTTGATGTAAGTTATTTTTTGTGCAGGTTTACTACTTTCGATTCAAGTGTCGCTACTTTATCCTGGTGTTAGGTAATCTTCGCAATTTTCTTAACATAAGGTAGGGTGTTGTAAGATAATCAGACTGGGAATAACCACCCCAAAAGGCTAAAACTCACAAAAGGCATGATTTCGAGAATCTCAAAAGCCAAACCCTTGTGCTAGCACCACACAAGACTATTATAAAAACGACCAGGGGCAGATCAGAGGGAGATTATCTTCAAACACGAACGCTTCTTTCATTTCGTCCGAAGCGGGTATTAGTTTGTCTCATAATTAAGTCCTTTAATTTATAATGGACTTCAGTCTTCAAACTACTTGCCCTGCAGCACTCTACACAGTGTTGATACCTTCAATATAAAAACATTAGAAAAGCGCACATAAGCTATCTTGAAATTATTTTCTTTCAAAGAAATCCCACGCTTCGAATGACTTGCAACTACAACACTTACATAAGTTATAGCATTTGAAGCTTTGGTGGATCAATCGAAATCCAGCAACACAGAGACCATCAACGACAAACTCGTTTAAGTTTTGAGGCAAAGATGGACTTTAATGATCAGAGAACGTCTAACGTACAGATAAATTGAACATTATGTGCAGTTGCGCGCAATTCACAGACCATTGCCGATATAAAAATTAAAAAGCATCAGGCACAGCCGGAGAGACAAGTTACATTTGTCAGTGAAACACGAGCAGCTAGAAATAAATATGAACGCATGTGCACAGGTACTATCAAATTCTTTCATGCTATTTGCAGTGCACTGATTTCAATTTACTACAATAAATATTTAATTACTTTAGCATGCTCACTGGCACGGTCATCAGATGGTCTGCCGAGATATATCATCCTTTTGGTTTTGGTATTACCGTTGTGACATGCTTGCATACACAGGAACATGTCAAAAACAGCCCAACATCCATTTTATCATTCATAGGGGAAGTTGGGGGAACGCCGAATACTTTTTTTCTGACGCCCGTAGCACGCAAGGTAGACAACATAAGCTATTCTTGTTGGCGTCATTCGAGAGGCCAATCTTTTGCCTTTCATACATACCAGGCGCATTTGATGAATTCGCATACCGTTAAGCGCACAAACTAAAAATATCAAAGAAGTGACTTTTTCGGCGTTGCCCCGGACTGCGGGGAAAGCCGAAAATGGGAGAAATGATCTACGGGGAATGCCGACATTGATGTTTTGCCACTTTATCTCAAACTTTATCCAGAATTTATCAAAGCTGACACGCGCTTTAAGAGCTTGAGGACGCTTGGTGCACACTGGAAGTTATAATTGTGTGATATAATAAGAAAATGCCAGGTAAATAATTCCTTATAGGTAACAGGCCGTTGTGTCGGTTGAAAGTGTAATTTGTGTGACTAAAAATTCGCGTTGCTATTCTACAGCAGTAAAGTCCACGTAGCGTGCTTTAACGTGCGTAATTGCACGTTTTCGGCATTACCCCAGCCAGCCATACTTTCATTTGCAGGCCCATAACTTTTCAACGTGCCGTATAAATTTCAAATAGGCAGCACACTTATGCAAAGACATGCTGAAGATTAATTGACCGAATTGGCCAGACAAACGGTAGCATAATGAGTACGAAATGCAGCTTCAAAGGCGCATGTAGTACAAGGAACGCGTACCTTGAAAACGCTCTTGGCGCCCTCACAGCCGAAGTATTCCGAATGACGACTCGTAACGAGCATGCGATAATTGTAGTCACTTAAGCTTCAGAGCATCACTGACAAGTGGCATCCATGTCTTACGGTTTTCGAAATATCTCGAATTTCGGCTTTGCCCCAACTCCGGCATTGCCCCAACTTCCCCTAATCCATTCATTCGAACTAGAGGTGGCAAAATGTGGACCCGAGGACCCGGTCCAAAGAACCAGTCTGGACCCATATGAGTCCAGACCGGTTCCTGGAAATTTTCTGACGGGTCCAACCGGGTCCTACCATAAACTATACATCTTGCACACTACACATTATTGCAAAATATGAAGTGAATGAAGTGAATATTTCTTTGCACACAGTAGCTCATGAGTATTCCCAGTGGGAAATAGGCTCTTTTACATGATGCAGCTAATGATGCTTACAAGTAGTTTGTATTAATTGACCTTTGGGGAACGGGTCCAACTGGTTCCGGTTCCAACTTAGACCGGTTCTGACTGGTTCCAGAAATGTCCAGCCGGGTCTGGTTCGAGTCTGGTTCCCAAAATTTTCATCTTTTGCCACCTCTAATTCGAACTCATTTATTTTACACTCACACATTCGAGTTCCCTCACTCTCACAACGTCACGTGTCTCACCTTGACGTAAAAGTCGGGGAAGAAGGCATCACTCCCGTCCTCCAGCGTTCTCCTGTACTCCCTCTCGGCGAACTGGGGTCGGTTGTCATTCACATCCGTCACGTCCACAAAGACCGAGGCCGTGGAGGTTCGGTTGCCGCCGTCACGTGCCACCACGGTCAGCGCGTAGCTGGGGACACGGTGAGTGGTCAGTAACGGGAGAGTGTGGGTTCGATTCTGAGCAGAGGAAGATGCTTTGTAGTTTCTGTTGGTGTCTGAGTTTATATATGAGAGTATTTTTTTTTGTGTGCAGATTTAACCCTCGCATGTGTGCGGCGTTTGCCAGCTTCTAATGTGTGTGTGGGGGGGGGGGGGTCGGTTGGACCCCCCTTGCCGTTTGGCCCCTGATCGAGCTAGAGCTTCGCGGAAAAAACGAGCGTGTTGCCCGTGACGAGAGGAAGCCGATGATACCCAATTTTAAGGTCCTAGGTCATTGGTTGACCTTCCAGGTCAGGTCAATGACCCAAAGTCGGGAAAATCGGGACCTGTTAGAAAGTCGTAAAGTGTGGCTGCTAAGGGGTTTTTCGGGGTGCTGATCACGAATATCGTGTTAGTTTTGATCACAGATGATGTCTTTAAGCATTTAGACCAGGTCGGGTCAGGTCAGGTCAGGTCAACCAGTAGGCGTCGTGACGGGTATTCGTAGTACGTGTCAACCGCCTCTGACAGCTTCGTAACATGTTACGAAGGCACCAAAACTACTTCGTAAATGTTCAAATGGTTGCTAAATTCGAATTCAGCTCCAAAAACTAGCCTAGAAACATGTACATCTCGAAAAAGTGAACCGAGGTCACCCGAGGTCACCAAAGGTCAATAACCTGACCTGACCTTCAGGTGACCTTGACACCCACCCTAATGCATGGAACCAACATCAAATCACATGTTTGAGCGTTTGAAACCACGAAAAGCTTGCAAACGCGCGGCTAATGCGAGCCGACATACGCAGAATCGCGATTCCGGCCAAACATGGTCTCGGAAAAGAGGTCACAGGTCAAAGGTCATTTGGGTCAGGGTCATGAAATTTTCAGGGTAGGTGTAAAATTGATGAATGTGAGGGTACTGAAAGTTTCGTCGCGATCAGCCGCTTTTTACGCGAGTTATTCGCGAAAAACCATGGGGGGTCCATCCGACCCCCCCCTACACATGCGAGGGTTAACACGCAATGTATTTCTTTTGATTATAAGCGTGATGTACTTAAACTGAGTTTAAAAGTTATATTTGCTCTGCACGCTCATTTTGTCCTGGCCCGTTTATGGAACTTTGTCAATCGAGGACCCTTGCCATGAAACCCCCTCTTTTTGTGACTTTTTCAGTAATGTGAAGAATAAAAACTTTTTTTTTCATCGGTTTCCATCGGTTGTTGGCATAACATCAAAATGGCATATTGCTCGCGCACTCATGCTGTCCCAGATGCTTTATGTCATCAGCCTGAGGGTATCACGCGACCCATGTCTGTATTACGACTCACAACCTCACCTCTTCTGGTCCTCATAGTCGAGGCACGGCACGAACGTGCACTGTCCGACGCTCAGCTGACCGGTGACCTTGTTCACGTGGAACCTCTCTGCTCCGAATCCCCTCAGGCGGTAGTGCACCGCACCCAGCTGACCGCTGTCCCGGTCACGTGCCGTGACGTCACCGAGCACGTGACCGGCGGCCGCGTCCTCCGGCACGGAGAAACTGCCGGAGATAGGACATTGGTCATTGGTTGGTCAGAGAAGCGAATAATCAAAGTCATTGGAGTTTTGATCATTGACCTGACTCTCCGCCCAGTGTTGGCTGTTGCAACAATTGGCAGATTCTTCATTTTAGACAATAGTTTTGCCTGTTGTTGCCACACTGGACAGAGACAAACTGCACGCAAATAAATAAATCAAACAGCAACTAAACCGAACTCGACTCACCTGAACGAATCCCGGTCAAACTCTGGCGCGTTGTCATTAGCATCAGTGACGAGTACGGTGACTGTGGCAGAGACCTCGGCCTTGCCCTGGGAGGCGACCACGGCAAACACGAACTGGCGCTCCGTCTCCTGCTCGTAGTTTAGTCTGTGGACGCCGGGGGAGGGGGACAGGTAGGTCATAGAGGTCAGAGGGGGCAGGTAGGTTAGATGAGGTCATACGGTAAGAGGGGATGTGTAGGTAAGATGAGGTCAGATAAGGTCAAGCGGGTCAGAGGGGTAGGTAGGTCAGATGAGGTTAGATTAGGTCATAAGGGTTAGAGGCGATGGCTAGGTTACTGGTCAGATCAAAGTTCAAGCGGGTCAGAGAGGGTAGGTACTATGAAGGTCAGACAGGGTAGAGTGGAATAAATATGGTGCAGGCATGTCCTTGAGGGTAGGAAGGTCAAATAAGGTCACACGGATAAGATGGGGTCACAAGTCATATCGGTCGTGGGTCAGGAAAGGTCATTTAGGATGGGGTCACGTGGGGCATGAAAGGTCAAACGTTGGGGTTTTGAGAATGGGGCGATAGAATTAACGGAGAAAAGTAAGAAAAAATGAAAGAAAAAGTAATAGATAATAGTGGAAGATCCCAGGCAGGGATAACAAAGTTCAGCAACCAGAGGGACTAAGATGAAAGAAGAGCATTCAGGAAATTGGTTCGCTCGTGAGCAGCAAGTCACATAAAACAAGCGCGGATGTTGGCGGAAAAAGTGAAACTCATTAGGTGTCAGACATGTTATACCTGTACTGTAACACCGAGAGGTTCGCTCAACCATAATTGATTTTGCCATCAGGTTACATGCTTGCCGTGTTGCTCATATCGCGCCCATAATTAAAACCACTGGTATAGGTTTCGTCGTGAAAACCCTTAAGCCTATCGGTGTGACCCCAATCCCGTGGTGAAAATTCCAAGCAGTCAGATATAATTGGGAGGCAAAAGTGTGGTAATGAGACGCCGAACCTATCACCATGAGGTCCCTAATAACTTGACCCGAAGTCGCTGTGAATGAAACGAACGTTACGATATGAATATTTAATGTTAAAGTTCATCTGCCATAGTGGACGGACAGAGTATATTTTCATACTGTATATTTATTTATTTTATCATAAATTTAAAACAAAAATATTTGCTTAATTATGAGTTGTATGTGCGCGACCCTGCGTTGACCTCTTACCTGGACGAGTCGGTGACTTTGATCAGAACGGGGGTGCGTCCGGCAGCTGAGGTGGGAAATATGTCAAACACGCCCTCACTGGCCTGGACGTCCCTCAGTCGCAGGTCAAACTGAGACCCGGCGCCCTCGTCCGAGTCGGAGACCAGCATCTCCAGACCAGGGAGAGGGGTGCCGTTCGCTGGGGGTAAAGGGGGGGGGGGGAGATAAAGAGTCAGAGATGTATGAATTGTCGAATAATCATTGGTTAGCCAAAAATACGTTTAGCGATAATTATCAAATGCATAGTGTGTGAAAAAAAACTTTGTCATGGTACTTAACCCGTTGATAAATTGGTAAGATTTATATCAGCATTTTGTCATGATTTCAAATGAGCAAAAATAATTTTCATTTGGCGTAATGCTACTGTAAAGAAACATAAACGGTGAACTTTATAAAAACGCGAGCGACCAGCCCAGCCGTGTCAGATCCTCGCGCCGTTATGAGCGCTATCTCATCCGCTGCTCACCAGTATCCTCCGGTATGAAGACGAGGAACTGGTTCTTGTTGAAGACGGGCAGCTGGTCGTCCTCGTCTGTGACCACCACGGTGACGTTGGTGACCACTTTCTCTCCCACGCCGCCCTCGGGAACCACTTCTTCGGCCTGGGTGGAGGACAAGAACGCGATAGTTGTGAGGGTTCATAATGAGAGATAAGAGGGCGATATTTGTTACGTTCCTGAGTGGAAGACATGGTTGAGCGATCTTTGGAAAGTTCCTGAGTGGGAGACAAGTGAGGGGTATTTGTGAGGTTCTTGAGTGGAAGACGCGGGTAGGCGATGTTTGTAAGGTTCCTCGTCACCAATCATCTTATGTTTAAACAGGTTGACTTTAATTTTAGTTCAAAAGCTATGTCAATCACTCACATTTCTCTGCATCGGATCACCCTTCCTTTCAAGTTTTGTAAAAATATAATACCGGAGTAGGTAAGTGAAACACGTAGCTTCACGGCATATTAATTTAAGCAAGACAGACAGCCAAAGACAGAGACGAAGAGAGAGAGAGAGAGAGAGAGAGAGAGAGAGAGAGAGAGAGAGAGAGAGAGAGAGAGAGAGAGACCGCCATACCACGTCTATGATGCAAGAACATCCTTTTTTCCTATTGAGTGCATCCTAACCATGTTTCCCAACAGGCCAAAAGCCACGCGTTCGATCCGGATTCCACCTGTGCAGGCAGCGACGCTGTCTAGGTTTGTCACTTTCGTGATAAGTCTGACGCCGCCCCCCACGGGTGTACGTTCGTCATCAATAATTCTCTCAGTTCTGGCAAACTCATCTGACGTCTGGCACAGGCCCGTTGGGTATTGACAGAGCCTTCGCTCTGCTGCGCCTCGAATGTCGACAATTGCGCCACCCGAGGGGCTATGTCGCACTGTCTGGACACTAGAGGTGGCGCAAGGAGACAAAGGAGGCGGGGTGTAAAGGTATTTCCATTTTATAAATGCGATTTGGGAGGTACCTACTCCAGTCGTCCAAGCATTAATTACCATGAGTTTTTGGAAGAGCTGTCATTCTTAATAACACCTTGCTTTCATTAATGCTTCATTGGATTATTGTCAATGCGATAAATTCGTGGATGTGATAAATGAAAGTACTTTGATTGGATTCGCAGCAGAGTTGTCTGACTATTCATCAGCATATTGCGATTCCTGCAAAAGGTAATATTGACACACTCGCCCTCCTTCCTCGGATGCATTGCCTACCAACATGACTTCGGACTTATTTGTCATTTGACACGGCAAAAGCAATAACGCAAATCCAATGCTCGTGAAATGAATGTTTAGCTATAATAGAAGATTCACTTTGAAAGTGAGGGCAACAAGCCGAAAAAAAACTCTAATTACCTTGTGATGTTAAAAATGTTTCAAACATCATAATGGTTGATGTTTTTTAAGATCATAATGTGTTTTAAAATTGTGACAAAGTAATAAATATCGGTCGAACGCCTCAAACCGCTTCGTTGACATTGTAACTGCAGTAAAGATTAGTTACACAACTTTTTCAGAATGAGTGTATGCCGGAATTGTGACTAAATGATAGCAAATAGGGCGACGGCTCTTTGCCGAGCGTTTACAAATTGTTCAGTAGTAATACGATTTATAGTACCAAGAAGAAACTATTCATACGGTTCTCACCTCGAGGTGAAACTGGTAAAGTCCCACGTTTCGAAGAATATCGGGGTTTTCTCTGTCCAGTGTGGTATTCCCTGTGATCAGTTTTGTACTGTATGCACCATTTGGTCCTGAAAAAGAAACAAAGTGGCTTCAAATGTAACGCAATTGCCGGGGAAGCCGCGAAACATGGAGGTAGGTAAGTGCCACATCTCATATCATGGGTGCTCGACGATTATGAAGGTACCTGCATGTTTTTTAGACATTGCAGCATGCGTGACCTCAAATATCGTCCCTAGCCCAGCTATCCTCTTCCTGAATAGGTACACCTGAAAACCATCTTTCCATCTTCAAGCAATATCGCCTCCGATATTTGCATCTATCTCCCCAGAACTCTGACCTCTCAACCTTGACTTTTGCCCTCCCGTCGCTGACCTTTGACCTTACCTCTGACCGGGTCCTCTAGCCGGAAGTAGCCGAGGTTGTCGCCAATAATGGCCAGCTTGAGCTCGCGGGGAATGCCTGTGTCTCCGTCTCTGGCCAAGATATCAAGCACCAGTGTGCCCTGGAGACATTCGGCCACGATTGCAGTAAAACACATCGTAATACACTTCTTTGCCTTTTGACTATTGGACAAAACATTTGTATACATTCGCCAAACAGGTAGCGCTACAAATGGGCGGTTGGTCACAAAGAATCACCATTGTGCAAAAACTATTCGGCGGTCTTCATCTACAACTCGACATTGAGCGAATGGTTCAACGTTGTGCAAAACAAATCGTCAATGGTTGAAACTATTTGTCATATGCCGAGCTGGCTCGCTCAATGCCGATGTCTGGCGAACTGTCGAACTGTTTTGCAGGTGGTTCATTTCAGTGTTCAATCTGTTATGCTGAAAGGCCGAAACGAAACACACAACGCCGGAATAGTTGTGTGCTCAGTGCCAATTGTCGGGATGGTTCCTCAAACAACTATGGCCAATGATTGAATTTAAATGCAAAAAGGAATAGTATTAGCAGTGAAGCGGCAATATGGATCAGCGCGTCTTGAACATGCAATGCCAAACATATACCACGTTGCAAATAAGCGTTCATGCTTTATGATAATTGTATGTACCTAATTGATCGTGGGAAATGACCAGGCCTGATGCTAAGGAACCACGTCGTGTCGAAATAACGATTAGATGGCAAGTCTTATTCCATCTGGTTCAGCTTTTAAATTTCAGCCTTTTACGGTATCCACGTCGCAAGAAGAAACAAAGTCACTACGTGAAGGTTGGTAAACAAATCGACCGGCGAAGGTAGGTAAGAAAGAAGGGATTCAAAGCGCAAAGGTAAACATTGCACGTTCTTTGTTTATTCCCGTTTATCCGAGAGAAATCCTCTCACGGGTTTTTAGTTACGTGGCTTATCCGATTCCGGGCTATCTGCAAAGATTAAAACACGTGTAAAATGGTGCAAGGCGCTTTAAAGGGACTATCCCACCTTTAACATGGGGTTTGAGTTGAGATAGCCAAGTTTGCGGCGAGGTTCAGAAACCACTATCTATCTAGGTTGCAACCCCCGCGGCCTCTTGGTGTTGAAGAAATTCGTTCCCTTCATTTGAAAATGGGCCTTGTGCACGGCCCTATCTTCAACATGGAGCGACCGTTAGTGTGACGTCACCTCGTTTAGTCATTCTGATTTAAATGGGTTTGTTCGTTGAAAAATCGCTTAAAACTTGGTCTGAACTTTGTTGTGGTGCCTACAGAGTAAAAAGAATCAGCTTTATGACAGTAATGTGGCCTGGGGAAGGAGGTAATTTTGGGCTGTGACGTCCAGGGGCGGATCCAGGAAAACTCCAAGGGGAGGGTCATGAATTGAAGTGGTGCCCCTACCTATACCCAAAATTAAAAACTCAACGGATTTCGTCCACTTCATTTTGGTGGGGCCCCCATTTTCAGTTTTTTTCTTTTTATTTTTTATTTTCAGTCAGTATCTTAACTCTTAGCCACAACCACATTTACCAATTGTAAGCAAGTATATATGAATGTGCTATGTGTATATATGTTGTGGACGCTGAGTAGTGAGTACTTACCAGGAACGTTATCAGGTAAGCAAATCGTTGTCAGTCCGACGAACTTGACCCTGGCGTATAAAGGGTCTGTCCTTGACACTTCAGGCTTGTCAGGGGCACCAAAGTCCTTCCAGGGACACCACAAACCTGTCACGGGCAACTACGGCCTTGTAGGGGCGCCACAGACCCGCCAGGGGCACCACAGGCCTGCCAGGAAGCAGGGGCACCACAGGTCTAGCAAGTATACACGACAGGCCTGTCAGGGGCACAACGGGCCTGTTGGGCCCATGAGCACCCCTAGGGGCAGGGGCACCACAGTCCTTCCAGGGGCACCGCAGGCCTGTGAGGGGCACCAGCGGCCTAGCAGGGGCACCAGTCAACACAGGCCTGCCAGGGGCACCACAGACCTGCCAGGGGCACCAGAGGCCTGCCAGGAACACCACCGATCTCGCAGGGGTAACTTGGGCCTGTCAGGGCCCAGGGGCACCACGGGCCTGTCGAGAGGCACTTCAGGCTTTTCAGGAGCACCATAGTCCTCTCCGGGCGCAGGGGTAGCAGGGGCACCAGAGGCCTGCCAGGGGCACTACAGGCCTAGCAAGGGCACCACTGGTCTATCAGGGGCACCACGAGCCTGTCATAGCCAGGGATCTCAGGCTTGTCAAGGCCCAGGGGCACCACAGGTCTGTGAGGGGCACCAGCGACCTAGCAGGGGCACCAGTCAACACAGGTCTGCCAGGGGCGCCACAGACCTGCCAGGGGCACCACAGACCTGCCAGGGGCACCAGAGGTCTGCCAGGGGCACCACCGGCCTCGCAGGGGCACCTTGGGCCTGTCAGGGGCACCACGGGCCTGCCGAGGGGCACTTCAGACTTTTCAGGGGCACCAGTCCTCTCCGGGCGCAGGGGTACCAGCGGCCTAGCAAGAGCACCAGAGGCCTGCCAGGGGCACCAGCGGCCTAGCAAGGGCACCAGAGGCCTGCCAGGGGCACCACAGGCCTAACAAGGGCACCACGGGCCTGTCAGGGGCACCTAAGGCTTGTCAGGGCCCAGGGACACCACAGTCCTTCCAAGGGCACCGCAAGCCTGTCAGGGGCACCAGAGGCCTGCCAGGGGCACCACAGGCCGAGCAAGGGCACCACTGGCCTGTCAGGGGCACCTCAGGCTTGTCAGGGCCCAGGGGCACCACAGTCCTTCCAGGGGCATTACAAGCCTGTCAGGGGCACCAGAGGCCTAGCAAGGGCACCACAGGCCTGCCATGGACACCACAGGCCTGCCAGGGGCACCACCGGCCTGTCAGGGGCACCACGTGCCTGCCGGGGACACTTCAGGCTTGTCAGGGGCGTTACAGTCCTATCAGGGCCCAGGGGCACCAGGCCCGTGGTGTCCCTGCTAGGCCTGTGATGCCCCTGGCGGTCCTGTGGTGCCCCTGTCAGGACTGTGATACCCCTGATAGGCCGGTGGTGCCCCTGGCAGGTCTTTGGGCCCCCGGGCCTCAAGGGGGGGGCCATGACCCATGTGACCCCCCCCCCTTGGATCCGCCCCTGGTGACGTCACATATTTGAAAGTTTGTGTTTGGAATATGGGAAGCCTAAGATGTTTAATGAAAAATAAATGCCAGAACCGTGTTCCTGGTCATCCAATCTATAAAGTCGGGCACAATTTAACTGGTTTTAACAACATTTTAGAAGGTGGGATAGTCCCTTTAACCCGCGCACCGACGGGGGTCTGCGCCAACTTCGCACCGACGGGGGGGGGCGGATGACCGCCCCCCCCCCCTGAGATCTCGAGAACGAAGCAAGATAGCGACAAGCGGTAAACGGCATCGGATACGCATGGCCAAGATCTACAATTTTTACTAAGGTCATTTTCAGGTCAGGTCAAAGATGACGTCACAGGGGTCGAAAAAGTCAAAATGGCGGCGCTAGATATGGAGAGAGTTGTTCTCGAACAACTTTCGAATTAGTCAAGATAGGAACAAACTAAGGGCATCATCGTGATCCTCTCGTCAATCCGCATCGAACGATATATATGTTGACCTCGAAAGGTCAAGGTCAAAGGTCCTGTGACCTCGAGGTCATCATGTATATCATTCGATGCGTCTTGACGAGCTGAACACAATGAGACCATCCACGCGTCTGTATCTTGTTCCTGTACGGAGTTATTGGCCAAAAACCTTTGGTGACCTTTGATGACGTCACATGACCTCACAGCTGCCCAACAGCAAAACAGACCTCAAGGTAGTGAAGGTTGATCGTATATGAAGTCATGTATGGTATATGGGGCCATTCCGACCCGTTTTAGTGGTAAAAACAGGGAGTTGATTTTTCCCCCATTGACTTATAATGGGGAGGTCGCGAAATTGACCTGACCTTAGGTCACCGATATCAAAATTCCGAGATATCCAAATTGTAGCTACTAATGACCTAATAATATCCTGCGACTTTCAAAGGCCTCCGACATCTACTGTAGCTCTGGCACGGTGACAAAGTTGCAAAAAAGTGACTTGAGGTTGGGTCATTCAAAGTGACCTGGTGACCTGACCTTAAAAGGTAGGAGGTTCAAACTTGCACACCATGTGTAAAATTGATGAGGTTATAGTCATACCAAATTTCGCGGCGCTACGCGCCGCGGTTTTCCCGCTATTCGCGAAAAACCTCAGGGGGGGGGGGCGGATATCCGCCCCCCCCGTCGGTGCGCGGGTTAATTCCGTTTTCTCTTACCTTTGCCAGACTATAGACGAAGCAATTGACACTGGCATAAAATCGTGTACCAACAGTTACAACTGAAACATACTTTTTCCGCAGTCAGGAAATCGCATGCGAGAATCTACTCATAACCATAAATATCTCCTACGTTAATCGCATGAACCTCCGTGCGAGCGGTTGATGCGAGCGAGAGCGACATATTCCGGCATGCTATTTTTTGACTACCGAAGGACTATTTCGGCCTTCACGGAACTCTGATCGTGCTTACCGGGGGGGTATTTTCGGCCACGGTAGCCGAGTAGGGTCCATTGACGAACTCTGGAGGCTGATCCTGCACATCTTCGACAGAAATCACCATCCGCGCGGTGGCTGTAAGTTGAGCTAAAGACGGCGCAGGGGCAGGACAAGTCAGTATAGTGAGTGGGAGAACGGGTCAGATCACCAGCGCAGGGGAGGTTTGGGCGAGGTCAGCCTGTGTGGGGAAGGGAGCGAGGGCCAGATCGTCACCGACGCCAGGCCAAGTTGAATCAGAGCTGAGATAGTGAGAAAAGATGGGTCTCTACATAGAATGTAATAGGTTTATGGGTGGACGTGCGTGTCTGTCCTGGATAATATCTCTATGCGGTTAATTATCGGCATACAATGTATGTATTCATGTCATGTGAATACATGAGTCGCGGGAAGCAGATGGTTATTTTCTGCTTGCGCTAGACAGTCATGACGGACAATTACGGTCATACCGTTTCTATAGTTAATTACAGAATGTCGACTTGCCATCACCAGGAACCAAATACTCATTCAGGGCCACAGTTACTAAAAAGTGTCAGCTGTCCTTTACTCTCATGAAACACTTTGCGACGGGGATCACATGCACAGCAGTCGTTGATCGTATTTCCGTGGCAGGTGGAATGGCTTACGGGAGCTGAGGGACTGAGGGACATTCGCTCACGTTTCCCGTTGTCTGTGGCGCGGACGCTGAGGTCAAAGTGTTTCTCGGCCTCAAAGTCGACGGGCTCGCGCAGAGTGACGATGCCGATGAACACGCCACTTCTCAGGCCCACTCCGCGGACATCGAACCGCTCGCACGCCTCCGGGGTCTGCGAAACGAAGGCCGGGCGGTTCTAAGACATCGTCTACAGAGTACAGATACAAACAGCAGGTATAAGTACAAGTACAAGTTAGTACTAGGTACAAATAACAGGAGATCACCAATTTTAATGCTTCAATTCAGCACTGTTAAGAGTTTGGACGAAAAAAAAAACAGGACACAGGAAAAAAGATGGCGGGGACCTTTCGCGTAATTCAAAAGTCCGCAAGAGGAAAAAATACATAAATAAACATATGAGATCAGCGAGAATGGAACTTGGGTTTCTAGAAAATATTCGTACTAAGATTTTAATTGCATAGACTCGGGACACGAACGTAATAGTCCTCAGTCAATAAGGTGAAATACCTCACCCTTCAAATGGTATTACGGCATTACATTCACAATACCGAACCGTTCCGACTTTGCTATTTACTTGAAAATGTAAGGCATTTGTTGCTTGTCAATATCCATTCTCAATGCCATTCATTACGACGTCTGTGCCTTCTTATTACCGCGTCGCGAGTTCTTTTCATTGGAAGTAAATCGAACTCGTCGAACTGACCTAGACATTGATGCTTTAGCGACGTTAGTCCATTCTACAGAAAAGGCAATGCTGAGTACATATTGTGGCTATTTGGCCAGTGACGTTTGTCCGGTGGCCAGAATACACAATGCATGTGTCCAAATGCAATTTATGTGCTGAAAGCTTCGCTGCATCAAAGAAATGATGCAGTTTTGAGGAGGCATACAATTCTGTAATGTGACTGAATGGAACTTGTGGCTATCTAGAGTGCTTGTGTGCGGGAAAATTAGAACCTTCATCATATCTTTATGTGGTCCAAGAAATGGAATTCATCTAAGCTTTGCAGTGAGGTGAAGATCATTCACAGAACGAAGTTGAATAGTCTTAACGAAAATTACATTCTATACTTTTAAATACAGACGTTACGTCGCGAATGGATTTTGTAGGGTGATATTATTATCATAGAAACTGTATTCCTTCACGAGTGAAATCGACCTATTTATAAGAACGCAAAGATGTTTGATGAAGTGAGCAGGCCTGTATTCAGAAACGTCGCAACCGCTGAGCACCACGCAGGGTCAGAACGACAGGAAAAACGCTATACAACAAATCAACAAATATAAACAAAGATAAATGACTGCAAACTCTGACGCTTCAACATCCTTGAAAATCTAACTTTATGAACTCAGCTCAAAAGATAGGAAGGAGATCAAGGAGCTATTGGATCAAAGGTGATCGTTTACCTATCTCTCATAGCCCTGCAAGACGACTGCATTCCACCCTTTCCCCGGCCGAAAAAAAAACGGCCATCTTTCTTACCCATCAGACCGCTTTACAGATAACCTTTTCTCTCACTAACCTTGTTGGAATCGCAGACCAGATTGACCTCGCCGTTCATCCCAAAGTCTGCGTCGGTGACGTTGACCTTTGAGAATACCGTGGAGCCCACCTCAGACGTCTCGCTGACACTGAGGGTCAGACAAAGACACACATGGCTTGGAGGTACTTAGAGGTATTCATTAGTGTTTCTTAGGTACTAGTCATGGTTATTTCACTTATTTCGTTTGTCAAATCAATGTAGATCTTGTGTGATACGTGTTAGTAGAACATCTGTTCTGTCGATGGTGAGGGGCTTACTAGTTAAGAACAACCGGATGCCGTAGCAACCTCAACTTTGCATGATGTGCTATTTTACAAGAGCTATTTATTTGTGCTGTTTGATGTGTAAGTTCATTTTCATATAGGTAGGTAGTTAAATCGATTTATGCCTTTTTAAGAGTGCAAACAAAATACCTGCGCCCTAAAGTATTCGTGGTAAGTCGAACAGTCAACAGGCACGCAAGGCCGTAAATTGGTAAGTAAAATTAGTACAGTCGGCGATGGCTTAGCACAACAGCTTTTATCGGAGCATCGATTTGAGTCTCTTTAGTGACCACAATCGATGAAGTGACGTTCTATCATCATCACCACTGACATGCTGGAAACGCCACCTACCTGAAGCGGTAGGCTCCGTTGTCGAGGCCGTTGAACACGGGCGGATTGTCATTGGCATCGACAATGGGTACCAGTCGCCTCACCGATACCAGGTTCGGCTCTTCGCCGTCGGTGCCCGTGTCTGAAACAAAGCACGTGCGGAGTCAGTTTTGCGAGCTGGATAGGACTTCACGTTCGGAGAGGAAGGTCCAAGGTTCGATTCCCGCCCGGTTCGAGGTGTTGATTAATGCTTTCTAATGGTAAAAATAGGCTGTACTTGGAGCTCAGTTTTAAAATTATTGTATCGTCCAAACTCGCATACTTCCTCAACGTAATGGTCCTTTAGTTCATCTGCATTGTAATGCTGTACACAAGATTACTAACAATAACACATTCACCACACTGGTGATGGTGGTGGTGAATCTAGTGGTATACTGTTAGTGATCTCACCTGTGATTGTGAGGATGACCTCCACCGACCGCATGCGTTCTCGGTCGATGGGTTTGACCAGCGTGACCCGGCCATTGATACGATCAATGCTGAAGAAGTCGCCACTGATCGAGTATGATACACGGTCTCCGTCAGCATCCGATGCTACCACCTGAGAAGGCAGGGTCCACAAATAAGCATTAAAGTTTTTTTTTAAATTGTAGATCACGTTACTGGACGCCTATCAATTTTGCAAGTTTAGGCACCAGAAAAAAACATTATAGTCGTGGGACATTATATTGGATTCCTGGGTCATTGAAGCATTTATTCACTTGAATAATTAATAAAGAGTAAAGGTACAGTAGTGCTAAGTCTGGTCAAAGTCGAACTCCGCAGGCTTGCACTTGTTTCACAACCATTGGTGTTGAACCTCCAAAAAGTCGACCCATTCATCAGTAATTTGTGACGAGTATTGCGTGTACCTAAAAACATAACAGATCGCACAGATAATTCAGCCCGAAATAGAGCCAGTAAACTGCGCTTTAACTTGTAGCATTGACGTCTATTCGTGTTCGCCGAAATTCTTTTTATCTTATCTTCGAGTTACAGAAGTTAAGCGTTCGAAAATATATGGCCTTGGTTCGAAATAATTAGGTTCGAATTAACGAGCCAGGCCACTAATTCGAGGCTCCACGTGAAGACCTGAGCGGCACACTTCTCCCCAGAGATCTCACCGCTCCCGAGAGACCCCATTTCTCGTCTGTCACTGATCCTGCACTGTCCAAAACGCGGCCATCAGGACTGTGTCGCACAGCGCTGTGACGTATAACGTGATTAGTGCGGGGACCATGCAAAACAACTGGTCATTCCCGACAGAACGCAGCGTCCGCGACGGTGGCCGGCACTCAGAAAGGACAATAAGACGTGCGATCTGTTAGGTAAGTACAAGTGGTTTTCAACTTCCGAATCGGTGGTCTATTAACGTGACGTCATAGGATTAATGACGTCATCAGACATTTTGCATGACCCGCGATTTAGAACCACATCACAGGTGAACGGGGGGGGGGGGGGGGCGTAGAGGAGGCGTAGGAAACGCGTTTACACTTAATGCGCGAGTTTTTTTTTGTCCTTTGAGACTTATCATCATTATTTTTGTAAGGTTTTTTTTTGCGAGAGCTGTAGGTAATGCAAATGGTAGCACCCCCCCCCCAAAAAACGCGTACGTTGGCCCTCTATAAAAAGAGGGCTGGGACAAAACATTTTATATTTCTTCAATCTTCATATATCAAGTGCGATATGAGTCATGGCAGTCAAAGATGGAACGGTAGATAGGTGTAGAAGATGAATTTGATAACTCACTGTGTATCACTTTTCTCGTTAAAAGAATACATGAAAAGTAGTTATGACGGTAAGATGCCGTGGTACCTATAGTGTAGGCATCGATGGCCTACCGTACTTACATCAAACGGTTTTTGAACCATTGAACATGCTAGCTACAGACGACATCCCAATTTGTATAAAAAAAAACTCATTCATCCTTAGTAACGGAAGCCGTATGTAGGGCGAAACGGTCAGTGACATTCCTCAATGCAATCTATACTACTATTTGAACAGGATCCGTCTGTTTGTTTGTCTGTCCGCCACGCCGTGTAGTGGGTTCAATTTAGCCGGCCTACAGGGCAGACGGTATATCGTAGGGGGTTGAAATTTGCACACCTTAAAGGTGACAGAACGGGTCAGCGCCTTTTCTAGGTTCCGACTCGCTGGGGTGCACGGTTCGCGCGTGGGGCGCGCCGGAAGAACGCCAATGAAATTTTGATCGGTTCGTAGATCTTCATTGAGAGCCGGGGTCGACAAACTTTGTGGACTAAATGCATGCCGATCGGTGGCGAGTGCCTCGCATTGGCGGATCGGCAAGTTATTAATTTGAATGAAAAGTGGTGAAAAAAATGTGTTGATTTTCGTTCGATGGAAACAGTTTGTGATACGAGTTTACAAATGCACCGCGTTTGCCGCAATGCGTCACATTGGTCACAGGGCGTCATTTTTGCCGCAAATCGCACAGTTTTGTCAAATATGGTCCGATATGGTTGCAATTTGGTGCAAAGATACATGCTCAATCGCCGGGTGAAAATGCGCCGAGTTTGTCGCAATGCGCCACATATGCCACAACACGCCATTTCCGACAAATACGATTAAGCGTAATGGAATGGCACGAATAGGGGCAGGGCTGGGAGCACTCTAAGTCTAATATTTTAGTACTGATTGGATCCAATTATTCTGTGACCTGACATGACCCAGCGGTGTTGGTAGGGGTAGGGGTAGGGGTAGTGGTAGTGGTAGTGGTAGGGGTAGGGTCGTGGTAGGGGTAGGGGTAGTGGTAGGAGTAGTAGTAGGGGTAGGGGTAGTGGTAGGGGTAGTAGTAGGGGTAGTGGTAGGGGTAGTAGTAGGGGTAGGGGTAGTAGTAGGGGTAGGGGTAGTAGTAGGGGTAGTGGTAGGGGTAGGAGTATGGGTAGTAGTAGTGGTAGGGGTAGGGGTAGTGGTAGATGTAGTGGTAGCCGGTAGGGGTAGGGGTAGTGGTAGGGGTAGTGGTAGGGGTAGGGGTAGTGGTAGTGGTAGAGGTAGTGGTAGGGGTAGTGGTAGTGGTAGGGGTAGTGGTAGGGGTAGGGGTAGGGGTAGGGGTAGTGGTAGTGGTAGGGGTAGTGGTAGTGGTAGTGGTAGGGGTAGGGGTAGTAGTGGAGGCAAAAGTAGAATAGTGGCCCGGGCTGATCCCATCGGACGAGAGGTGACCTATGTGACCTGGCCTGACCCAAAGTGACCGGGGCTGACCCCTTGACCCGTCTTGACCCCGTATCAGCCAAATTTCACCCAACAAAGCTCTCAGAGCAGTTCTTTTTTAAATCTCTTCACATTTCCGTCCATATCTATGCTTCTAGACGACACATCGATTTGAATCGAACACCATTCGAAAGCAAATTGGCTGGTGCCGCAATTTTTTCCTACCACGCAGCAAAGCAAGTGGCGCAGCCGCTTGTCTATACTACTATTTGAACAGGATCCATCTGTCTGTCTGTCTGTTTGTCCGCCACGCCGTGTAGTGGGTTCAATTTAGCCGGCCTACAGGGCAGACGGTATATCGTAGGGGGTTGAAATTTGCACACCTTATAGGTGACAGAGCGGGTCAGCGCCTTTTCTAGGTTTCGGCTCGCTGGGGTGCACGGTTCGCGCGTGGGGCGCGCTGGAAGAACGCCAATGGAATTTTGATCGGTTCGTAGATCTTCATTGAGAGCCGGGGTCGACAAACTTTGTGGACTAAATGCATGCCGATCGGCGGCGAGTGCCTCGCATTGGCGGATCGGCAAGTTATTAATTTGAATGAAAAGTGGCGAGAGATTGTGTAGATTTTCGTTGAATGGCAACAGTTTGTGATACGAGTTTACAAATGCACCGCGTTTGTCGCAATGCGTCACATTTGTCCCAAGGCTCCATCTTCGTCGCAAATCGCACAGTTTTGTCAAATATAGTCCAATAAGGGTACAATTTGGTGCAAGGATGCATGCTCAATCGCCGGGTGAAAATGCGCCGCGTTTGTCGCAATGCGCCACATATGCCACAAAGCGCCATTTCCGACAAATACAATTAAGCGTAATGGAATGGCACGAATAGGGGCAGGGCTGGGAACACTTTAAGTCTGATATTTTAGTACTGATTGGATCCAATTATTCTGTGACCTGACATGACCCGGCGGTGTTGGTAGGGGTAGGGGTAGGGTTAGGGGTAGTGGTAGGGGTAGTGGTAGGGTAGGGTAGGGGTAGAGGTAGTGGTAGGAGTAGTAGTAGGGGTAGGGGTAGTGGTAGGGGTAGTAGTAGGGGTAGTGGTAGGGGTAGTGGTAGGGGTAGGAGTATGGGTAGTAGTAGTGGTAGGGGTAGGGGTAGATGTAGGGGTAGGGGTAGTGGTAGGGGTAGGGGTATGGGTAGTAGTAGTGGTAGGGGTAGTGGTAGGGTAGTGGTAGGGGTAGGAGTATGGGTAGGAGTAGTGGTAGGGGTAGGGGTAGTGGTATGGGTAGGGGTAGTGGTAGGGGTAGTGGTAGGGGTAGTGGTAGGGTTAGGGGTAGGGGTAGTGGTAGGGGTAGTGGTAGGGGTAGGGGTAGTGGTAGGGGTAGGGGTAGTGGTAGGGGTAGGGGGTAGTGGTGGAGGCAAAAGTAGAATTGTGGCCCGGGCTGATCCCATCGGACGAGAGGTGACCTATGTGACCTGGCCTGACCCAAAGTGACCGGGGCTGACTCCCTTGGCCTTTCTAGACCCCGTATCAGCCAAATTTCATCCAACAAAGGCCTCAGAACAGTTCTTTTTTTTAATTTTCTTCACATTTCTGTCCATAGCTATGCTTCTAGACCACACATCGATTTGAGTCGAACACCATTCGAAAGCAAATTTAATGGTGCCGCAATTTTTTCCTACCACGCAGCAAAGCAAGTGGCGCAGCCGCTTGTCAGTATCTTACTATTTGAACAGGATCCATCTGTCTGTTTGTCCGCCACGCCGTGTAGTGGGTTCAATTTAGCCGGCCTACAGGGCAGACGGTATATCGTAGGGGGTTGAAATTTGCATACCTTATAGGTGACAGAGCGGGTCAGCGCCTTTTCTAGGTTTCCACTCGCTGGGGTGCACGGTTTGCGCGTGGGGCGCGCTGGAAGAACGCCAATGAAATTTTGATCGGTTCGTAGATCTTCATTGAGAGCCGGGGTCGACAAACTTTGTGAGCTAAATGCATGCCGATCGGCGGCGGGTGCCTCGCATTGAAGGATGGTGAAATTATTGATTTTGATAAATGGTGGCGAAAAAATGTGTTGATTGTTGCTAAATGGGTACAGTTTGTGATAAGATTGTACAAATGAACCGCGTTTGCCGCAATGCGTCACATTGGTCACAGGGCGTCATTTTTGCCGCAAATCGCACAGTTTTGTCAAATATGGTCTGTTAAAGTTGCAATTTGGTGCAAAGATGCATGCTCAATCACCGGGTAAAAATGCGCCACGTTTGCCGCAATGCGCCACATTTGTCACAAAGCGCCATTTCCGACAAAATCGATTAGTTGTAATGCAATGGCACGAATAGGAGCAGGGCTGGGAACACTTGAAGTCTGATATTTTAGTACTGATTGGATCCAATTAGTCTGTGACCTGACATGACCCAGCGGTGTTGGTATGGGTAGGGGTAGGGGTAGGGTAGTGGTAGTGGTAGGGGTGGGGTAGTGGTAGGAGTAGTGGTAGGGGTAGTGGTAGGGGTAGGCGTATGGGTAGTAGTAGTGGTAGGGGTAGGAGTAGATGTAGTGGTAGGGGTAGGGGTAGTGGTAGGGGTAGTGGTAGCGGTAGTGGTAGCGGTAGTGGTAGGGGTAGTGGTAGGGGTAGTGGTAGGGGTAGGGGTAGGGGCAGGGGTGGTGGTGGAGGCAAAAGCAGAACAGTGGCCCGGGCTGATCCCAGCGGACGAGAGGTGACCTATATGACCTGGCCTGACCCAAAGTGACCGGGGCTGACCCCTTTGACCCGTCTTGACCCCGTATCACCCAAATTTCATCCAACAACGCCCTCAGAACAGTTCTTTTTTAAATTCTCTTCACATTTCCGTCCATATCTATGCTTCTAGACGACACATCGACATGAATCAAACACCATTCGAAAGCAAATTGGCTGGTGCCGCAATTTTTTCCTACCACGCAGCAAAGCAAGTGGCGCAGCCGCTTGTCTATATTACTATTTGAGGAGGGTGCGTCTGTCCGTTACCGAGGTCCCGACTTGGTGGTGCTTTGCGTGGACTACAGGCCAGGCCGTTGCACCTAGCCCGGTGAAATTTGCACAACTTATAGATCAAGGATGCGCGACGTGCCTTTGAGGGGTCTCAGCTCGATCGGATTGATAGGGAGCGCGTGGCGCGTGCTCAAAAAGTGCAAATTCGCGTCATAGACTTTACATGTATAAATCGGCGTGCGAAATCGGGCGAAAACGGCTAATTTTGGCCGACACGGGTCCAGTTCCCGTGCAATATCTTGGTGACCAGGGGTCCGACCGGCACGGGGAAAACAACATCGTGTACAGAATTGAACGGGCTATTGAATGGTGTGCAATGCAGAGGATAGCACGCGCCACGTGCACCGGAGAGGGCACTTTTATTTGAAAAATTGCGGTTTTTGAGGGATTTTGGAATTAATTTTATTTTTAGGTGACCGTTAAATGGAGCGAGTTGAATCAACGCCTATTTGCAAGAGAAAGGTACCGCCTCTCATATAAAAATTGTGAAAAGCTGATTGATCCAAATCAAGGTGGTGCAAATCACAGGAGAAAATGGTGTTAGTCAATTTTGTGCCACTTTATTAATCACACGGGGTTTGCTGCATAACCTGATACCTTTGGCAATTGAATATGGTACCATTGGATAGAGCATTCAATTCTGTCCAATATTCACTCTTCATTTTTGCATGATTAGCAACAGTATCCTTAAAAATGTAAATGTTCCAAACCATTACATTGTCATTTTTAGCGAAATTCATCGATGGCCCTCAAAAGACTTCACGCCAGTTTTCGAATCATTCTAAAGTAGAACGCATGATAATACGACACGGGCACCTCGATGCGATGCATCTTTTTGTTTTCTTACAAAATGCTTGGCCGTCAAAAAGCAATCGAACGAAATGGATATCTACCAACCAAATCGACACAGACCAACCCAATACCCACGGGTCAAAAAATCCCCCCTTCGCGTTGCGGAGCACGCGGGTAACCCTAGTGGATTCCCATTACACATGACTTATTATCCAAGGAAAATCTCTAGTGAAACGTATATTACGTGACTGTTGTGTGATATTTTCCCCGTACAATGGGCTACTACATTGCAAAGCACACGTGCGATCTCATTTAACACTGTCAGTGCAGAAAATGACAGCGGATCAAACCAATGAACGTGACTTGTAAACTGTAGGGCGTCTTCGCTTCCGAGATAAACGTACGAGCGTTGGACTACCAAAAGCTGTAGCTGAAGTACCTAAGCTATGGCTGAAGCAGGGTTGTGACAAAGACTGTCCTTGCATCAAAGGTAAGCAGGCAACACGTGCACGAAGTACACCATAACCGAAAGATCGCTCACCTGATAAACTTGAGAGCCGACTTCCGCGTCTTCTCTGATGGCGAAATCCAGCATGTCACCACCCTTCTCGAACTGGGGTGGCGTGTTCTGACCCAGTGTGCATGCGCACCAGAGCAGGGTCACAGCAAACCGCAGCATGGTTTTGGGAAGCTTCCCAGTGGAGGTGCCGCACGTATGGCCCTGCTGATGATGACTGGTGCCTCTAGATGGCGTAGGCAATCCGGACCATTGCTGCAGCAGAGAAGAGGGAGGTGTATAGCGTTGTGGGTATAATGATGTAATTCCAGCGTCCCAGAGTACCATGACCGGAAAAGGTCATCCTTCATATAAATAAATCCGTATCGTAGAAATGAACACATCAAAGGTGTTTCCACTGCTTTAGTATGTCTCTATCAAAAGTTGTGAGGTCGACGAGCATATGACAAGGTCGCAAAATTGACCTAAACTTAGGTCACCGATATCGGAGTTCTGAGGTATACTTCTTACACATACAATGCCCATATAAATCACTGAAAGTTTCTAAGAATCTAAGCGATCATTCAGTCGGTGTAGCTATGACGAGCATTATCAATTTTCCTGAGGGTAGGTTACTTGTCGTGACCTGGTGACCTGACATTGAAGGACCTGGGTCTGAAATCTTAACAATAAGTACAGAAAGGATGCTTGATAAGTTGTGCCAAAAACGGCTGCGCGTGATGCCGTCTTTTATTAGCTATTCGCGAAAACCCGCGAGGGGAGCTGTGTTCAAGCTTCAAACACCTCTCTCAGCAGGGCGCGGGTTCAATAACGGCACAGGCCACCGATAAAGATCTTGGTAAAGAAAGATATTTTTAAGCATGCCGACATACTTTCGTTAACCCAGTAAAACGTTACAATTTACGTGAATGCCCTTGCGTGTTGCTGTTACATTTGCCATGTTCTTTTACGCTAGGTCCTGCATTTTTGTCGTAAATCACGCAATACTGAACTGTTTTAAACTGGAATAGTTGCATGACTCGAATGCCACGTTAAAACTATGACTGCTGCTGAACATGAAACCAAAATTTTCCCGGTAAACATGAACAAAATTACCGTTGCAATGAAAGCCATGACAAATAACATACAGGTAGGTAATCATTTTTGATAAACATCTTGAATGGTTCAGGTTCAGCTGATCATCATTCATCAGCGGATATATAAAGATGGAGTCTGAATCGCAAGGCGTCACTGACCGCGCCTGTCACTGCCATTGGGTTCCAGTTGTGAGTTGATACTTGATAGTATAGGCATTTGCTATTTACCATGCAGTACCACGGTGATAAGAAATTTGCACATTTCCGGTGTTCATCAGACATCAATACAGTATCCATTCTCAGTTTTGTCACACAACTACGAGTTACGACGTGACTATTTATTTATTTAGCACCACGCTCATTGTATTCGCGTGCACCACCATTTGAAATTCCCTGCCGGAATTTCTGGCCATGCATCCCGCCGCTGGCGGTCAGCCCAGGAGCACCTCAGCGGCCCACTTCGTCCGGCCAGCGTCAAATCCCGTGGGACCGGTCCCACTGGCCGGGGCTACCTTACCCGTCCGCACACGTCCCACGTAATCGGCACCAATTCGCCCGACCGGGCCTGACACCCATTTAGATTCGGCAAAGTTCGGTGGTTCGACAGCCCGGCTGCAGTGCTGTCGTTAGGGTAGATGCATAGAAATGATAGTTGGATGGTTTGGTCAGCTCACATGCGGGTCATTGGTAAGTCGTGCGGACATTACGGCATGCGGGTATGTCTTTAACTTTAGGACCGGTGCCTGTCTGCCCCTACAGTCAAAGAGTCATATGGTGAGTCTCATAGGTCACCAGGTCCATGCGGCATGCTGGTACGGCACAGACCGGACGACGCGTCGCCGAGAGAGGCGTGCCTTCGCCGCCAGGTCAAGCCAGGACGCTGACCCGTCCCGAGCCGAACGGCCAGACATTCCCACCACTGACCTTCGCTGGACTCCTCGACTCCTCCGGGCTCCCGCGACTCCCCAGTGTCCTCCGCGACTCCGGTGACTCGCACACCGACTCAGAGTCACGCAATGACCTCTCGCACACCTCACACTCACACCTGCACGCAGAGGTGCTCGCAAGTCTCCCCCACCACGCGTTGAACTCTCCGAGACGCGACTCGCCCGCCGTACAGCTGCACTGCTTCCACCGACACCCGGGCCGGTAGAGCACCGTTAGCCGCCTGGGGCCGGTCTACCTCTGCGCGGACCGGTAGACTGGCCGCTCACCTGTGGTTTGGGACCGGCCAGGTTCGGTGGGAATGTACGGATAGCCGCAGGAGACAGCGTCAGGCTCGAGCGGGCTGGGACAGTGGCCACTGGCCACCCGCACACCTTGAGACTGGGGGACCGGCTAGGTGGGGAGGGGTACTGTCTCGATGGGGAGGGGTGCCGGTCGCCGGCGGGGGAGGGTTGTCGGCTCCGTCGTGGGGACAGGGGAGGGGTACCGGCTCGAGCAGGGAGGAGGGGGAGGGGCAGAGAAAGCACTCGCGCGGCGCGGCAGAGGAAGGTCAGTGAGGCAGAGCGATTGTAAAAGCAGCGGAGGGGAGACAGAAGGGGCGGGGCTGGCCTTGGGTCAGACGAGTGCCGGACGCTGCGCCGGGCGCCGGCTCAGTTCGGCCTAAATGCAACGCTAATCACAACGATGGGATATTTGAAGTGAAAGTTTGTTTAGTGTTTTTTTCTTCTTCCCAAGCGCTACTCACATTTTTGGTCATCGCACATTAGTGATTCGCTGCATCACTTGGTGTAAATAAATAGCTTTACATCAGCAATAGCATGCTAACTTGCATGCGAGTGATGATGACAACAAATTTATCCTAACTTCAGGTATACGTATGTCAGAGCTCTGGATGTGAATTCCAGGTTCAACATCTACCGTAAGCTAACTTGAGAAGAAAGGTAGATAAAAAGGCACGTGTTCATTACATCTATTCATCAAATACAGCGTTGAGTTAACAACTCCGTCTCCGCACTCAGCAGGGTAGGTTTAAAATTGATCAATGCGAGGGTACTGAAAGTTTCGTCGCGATCGGCCGCTTTTTACGCGAGTTATTCGCGAAAAACCTTAGGGGGGTTGCATCAACCCCCCCCCCCCTGTACCGGCGAGGGTTAAGAGGCCTCCATAACACTGGCACTCTAATGTGCGAAAATCAAGTTCTTTATTTTGGAGACTTTGCTAGTTAAACTTATTATCTAGGATGGCTTAGTGCTACGCCTGTTCAAACAACAGCAAGAAAACGCATGCGAAGGTATGCATTTTATTCACTCATACGATCTTCCCAATGAAAGACATGCGACCTAAAAGCTTGGATTCTTTTTGACAAGGTCGGCAACAAATCGTTAAAAAAAGGAGCAAAACATATTGTTGGCGACGCTTTCGTTCGAATCTCCTTTCATGGTGTGGACTGTATTTCATCGCGCATCGCACAGCATTTGGTTGTTTGGTGACCGAGATCCAGGAGGAAAATGGTTTAATTGGAAAATTGGGAAAATAAATGTTATAACCTATCACGTTAGCCTAGTTAAGATACAACTAAATATTGGATACAGGATAGAGCGCCGGATGCCGACGACTGAGAAAACTCCTTCTCAGGGAGTATATTTGGACCTAATAAAGAGCGCCGGATACCGACGGCAAAGGAACCCCCTTCTCTGGGCGTATGTTAGGGCCTAAATAAGAGAGCGCCGGATACCGACGACAAAGGAACCCCCTTCTCTGGGCGTATGTTAGGGCCTAAATAAGAGAGCGCCGGATACCGACGACAAAGGAACCCCCTTCTCTGGGCGTATGTTAGGGCCTAAAATATGAGAGCGCCGGATACCGACGTCAAAGGAACCCCCTTCTTAGGGAGTATGTTAGGGTCTAAAATATGAGAGCGCCGGATGCCGACGACAAATGAACCCCCTTCTTAGAGAGTTTTAGGAATGTTTTAGGATGAAAAAAGGATAGTCAGTAGACCTGGTCACCGGAACCGATACGCCTGCCGCATCTCCGTCGAATATCTCAACTGTGTGTAGACCGCGCACTGTTTCACTTCTCACTCGGGCTTCTCACACACTTTGTCTTCTAGTTCACTATATTTGGCGGACAAGGCAGCGAAACGTACCGGGAAGAGAGCGGGGCAGCGCAGTGTCCCCGTCGAAGTCGAAAGGTGAAGTGAGGGCCGGGGGTGTTTACAACTAGTTTATATACAGCGACAGGGGGTGAAACAAGACGCGTTGAGGACGGTCAGAGCACACAGAAAAGGCTAAAAATGGCCCGGGCGTCCAGCGCTCCACCCGGAAGACACACACGCTGGGCGCGCACGTGCGTGCCCCACACAATGGCCCGGACCTGGGCCGGTCCTACGCAAACAGGGAGCCGCCCTGCCGCGCCGGCCGGCCAGCCGGGTCAGAGGGGACGCCAGCGTCCCGCGACCGCGGACGGCGCTCGGCTCGGCGGCGCGGCGGCGGTTCGGCTCAGCATCGCTGAGTCTCTCGCCCGTACCGCCTTGCATAGGTGCAATTTGTCGGCAACATCACTCCCCCCTGTGTTCGGCTTCACTGCGAACGTCGAACACAAACATTTGACCGACAAATTGAACAGCGCAAACGAACAGTCAAGAAAGGTGATAACCGAAACGGGCGCGGGTAACTATCATTTCCAAGCTCCATACAAGTAAAAACACGCACAGCATACCAGCAAGGTGCGGAGCGAGGTAAAGCGGGCCTAACACTCGCGCGCGGAGACGGGTTACCTTTACACAGCCCTGAACTCAGACTCAGGTCCCTGTCAGGAAGGCACAAAAAACCGGAGCTAGCGCGGGCGGTCAGTGGGCGGGGGCCGGTAAGTCACACGCACAATGGAAATGACGGACGACTGTTGGATATCTTCTCCGAGAAAACCCAGATGAGCACCGGCTATGGGGGACTGGACGGTTGGTACCTCGGGCATGGGACCGCAGCAGGCAGTGATCAGTTGTCCACGGGACGCAGCCATGAGCGCTGCGTGTTCAGCTCCTCCCGGGCGGCGCTCAGTTCGCGCACCACGGACAGCAGCTCCTGGTTGCGCGCCTGGAGCCCCTCTTTGTCCCGGAAGGTGACCAGAAGCTGGGCGATCAGCCGTCCGGCGGAGAAGGTGTCCAGCTCGAGCTCGTACCGGGGTGTGGCGACGAACCCGCCGCGCGCCTCCTCCACCTTCTTCAGCGGCACACAAAACTGAATCGCCAGGTCCGCTGTCTGGGCGGCCAGCCGATCCCTCTCGTGTTGTACGGTACGCAGTCGCCGGCGGGCGTCGTCAGGCTTGGCGTGTGCTGTCTCCAGCTCCTGTAATGCCTTGCCATTGCTGTCTGTGGGAGAGTCGATCGTCTGCACCGCCGTCTCATAATCCTCGCGCTGCCTCTGGATGTCCAGCGTCCACTCATCAATGGCCTTCAGGATCTGGTCGAGGCACAGTTTGAACTGCTTGCTCTCGGCCTCTGTGGCCGTCAGCTGCTCCTTGGCCTGACTGAGCCCAGTGAAGATCTGTGTGAGCGTCATGCCCTGCCACAGGAGCCGGCTGACGGCGGCGGCGGACGGTGACGTGGCCTCCACCGCCTCGTCTGAAAGGCTACCTTTGCGGGTGATTGCCTGCAGCTGCTCCTCGTAAGTCTCCAGCCGGTCGCGCAGCTGGATCACCTTGTCGCGCTCCACCAGGTTCTGGCCGTGCTGGGTGTGCGTCTCGTCCAGATGCACCTCCAGCTGGCTTTGCTGCTCACTGGCCGAGCTCAGCAGTGACCGCAGCTCGTCCACCGAGCGCAGCATCTCATTCGACCTGGCCTCCGCCTTCTCGACGCCCTCTTTGTAGGGCTGCGCCAGCCGCTCCTGTGACCGCAGCTGCTGTCGATAGTATTCCTCCTGCTCGATCTCGGCCTCACGCTGCAGCCGGGGCTTCTCCACCAGTTCGGTGAGCCGCTGCTCCAGGTCGGCCGCCTGCTGTGTCAGCCGTTCTTTTTCCGCCTGCTCCGTCCCCAGCTGGTCCATCTTGTTGGCAAGGTCGGCCTGCAGCTGGAGGATCCGCGAGCTGTGCTGGCGGCGCAGCGTGGACAGCTCCTCTGCTTGCGACTTCAGACTCTCCAGCAGCAGAGACATCTGCTTCTCCAGCACCTCCTTCTCACTCGCCATCTTCCTCTCTCTGTACTGGAGACTGATCTCCTTGGCGGCAATTTCCCCTACCTGTGCCAGCGCCCGACACTTGGCCGCATTAGCTGCAGCCAGTTCAGCTCCCTGGTCTTCAATCTCAGCCGTCAGCCGGGCCACCTCAGCAGCGCGCCGCTCCAGCTGCTGTACCAGGCTCGCCTTGTCCGAGAGCACCTGGTCGCGCTCCCGACAGGCGGCCAGTTCAGCGGCCAACGCCCTGGTGAGGCCGGCATCTGCCTTCCTGTAGTCTGCGGTGGCCGTGGTCCGCTGCTCCTGGAGTCTGGCAGCTGCCTGCTGCTGCTCCTCCAGCTGGCTGGACTGCTTCTGCAGCTCCTGCTGGGCCTCCTGTAGCTGCTGGCCCAGCTCAAACTCATTCTCTTCTGTGAGTGCGTCTGCTGAGACAGCAGCGACCGATACATGTCTCTCGGCGACGTAGGAGTTGATGATGACCTGGTACTTCCCTGCGACCTCTGGAAGCTTCTCGAGCTTTCTCTCTGTTGGCTGTAGTCGCTGAATAGCATGTCGCTTGTTGTTGGGAAGTGTAGGACTTGTCTCCTTCCACAGCAGACTGGTCTCGTATCGCTCTCCACTTTTGATCGTGTTTCTTTCCAGCATCTGGAGTGCTTTCTTATCCTCCTTCGATCGTGACATCATTTCACTGTACTTTGCTCCAGATGCTTCTGTAGACCACCATTCGTTTACGGCAGCGCACAGCTCCACTTCGCTCTCACTCGATTGACGTCTCAGAAACATGACCCGGCGCCTGCTGCTGGGCGCGATGTCAGACACGCAGCCCGTCAGGGTCCATCCTAGGTCTGTCTTCACAGCGGCCGGTTGATTCGGACGTCCCACACGCACCTCCTTCTGCAGCACTGCTTCAAGGACGTTTGCACCAATCAACAGCTTCACCTGCCCGCCATTATATTGCGGGAACTCCAGATCACGAAGGTGTTCAAGTCTCTGAAGCTGACTCTTCGTCATCGTATTCGCAGTCACATTCAGCGCTGGCACAGACCACACTTCAGGAATGTTGATGCACTTCTTTGCCCCTGTGCCAAGGGGGCTGATCTTCAGTTTCACTCTCTCGGACGGACGCTGAGTGCCACTGGTCTCCACGTTTTGTATGCAGAGCGGGTGTCGCTCCCCGGCAACGCCCAGCTCCTCCAGAACATCCTCACGACACAGTGATGTCTGAGCTCCAGCATCCAGGAGTGCCAGAACGTCTGTCGAGCCGCGGGGCCCGTGAACCCGCACAGCAACAATCTGTAGCAGTGTGTCTGTGTCCGTTTTTACCGAGGCCGCTACAAACGGCTGGTTCCCGGAACTACCTTCAGCTGAAGATTCAGGCGCTCCCGTGGTTGTCCCTGCTGACGACTGATCCCTCCTCGAGTTGCTCTGATCGGTTCCTGACCGACTTGATCCGCGGTGGAGAAGCGGATGGTGCGTGAGCTTGCATCCCTTCACATTGCACCGCCGAGACAATTTGCAGCTTCTGCTCCAGTGGCCCTTCTTGAGGCATGAAAAGCAAAGACCTTCTTCATAGGCAACAGCGCTTCTTGCGTCTGGGGTCTTGGCCTTGAATTTTGAGCAGTCGCTTAGCCTGTGGTTACTGCTGCACACCACGCACACTGGCAGAGAGCGGGCCTCTGGTTCGGTTTCACCATTAGCTCCTGTCGCCAGCGCTGTTCGCCGAACAGGGCCGTCCCTTGAAGCAACTGTTGCACGTTTCCGTTCCGATGTTGAAGTCCCGGACTGGACAGCAGAGAAGCTCAGGATGTTGACTTGGACTTGGAGCCACTCGGTGAACGTCTCCAGAGTCGGTCTCGTCGGTCGCAGCCGGAACACTTCACGGCCCCACTCTCGGGCTAGTTCGCTCGGCAGCTTTTCGACCACTCTTCTCAAGTTTTCACTGCTTGACAGGTCACTCGCATAGCCGAGATTTCGCAGGACGGTGACTGTGTTATGGACGACCGCATAAAACTTCTCCATCGCTGGGAGGTCCATTAGTGACGGTGGCGAGGTCATAAACACATTTCGCAGGTGGGCCTGGATGATATCTTCCTCTCGTCCGAACCTATCTTGCAAGGTTTTCAAGGCCTCGTGATACAAGTCACCGTTGAATAGCATGCCGTCAATGGCCTGGGCCGCGGCCCCTTCCACCGCGTTTTGAAGGTGAGCCATGCGCTCAGCATCCGACAGGGACAGCTGATCATGCACCAATGCTTTGAAAAGACCAATCCAGCGCGGCCACTCACGTGCATTTCCACGGAACGTTGGCAGAGTCAGTCGCGGTATGCTTTTTACGAACGCTGATGGTCCTGCCAGGTCATTACGTCGGGGTGAGGCCGGCGTTGCGATCCAGCTGGCACGAGCCAGTCCGTCATTCTTGAGCACCCCATTCTCACCTTGAGGAACACCGACAGCTCTGGGTGATGACGAGATGCAGCGGGAAACTTCGCCACCATTGGATGCCGGCCGCTGCTCACCTGACGTATCACGGACGGCTCTCGATATATCGCATTGCTCAGGCTCCACCTCCACTGGGATTTCGTCATCAAAGTCGTTTCTCCGCTCCCATTCAAGCTCATTTTCTGCAGCCCTCAGAAGTCTTGCCCTCTGCTGCGCTCGTTCCACCTCCTCTTCTAACTCCTTTTCCTCCATCATCCTCTTCTCTTCTTCCATCCTGTCTTCTTCTCTTCTCCTCTGAGCTGTTCTTTCTGCTTCCTGGTTTCTCAGCTGCCTTTCTCTGTCTTGCCTGGCTTTCAAATGCTTCAGCTCCAGGCTTTTCATCTCTGCCGTTATTACAGCTTCCCTGGACACCGCTCTGGAGACTCCGGAAACACGGGATCCGTTCGCTCTACTCCCCCCGTGATGCAACTTTGATGGTGGTGGTCTGTCATCTGCTTGCGACGCCGCGCAGCAGCTCACTGGTCGGTGCGTAGTCGCCTCTTCAATTCTTTTCACCGTCTCGGCGTGCCGTGCCGTCAGTCGGGTGGCGTACTCTTCCGCTTCTTCCAGTTCGCAGACCTCCTGCACCTTCTCAACATAGGCGTCATTGGCTTCCATGAAACCATCCAGTGTCGCATTCAGGGTTTCGAGCCGCTTCTTTAGTTCTTCCTCGCTAGCTCGGCGCGCGATCTGAGCCTCCGCCGTGTTACAGGCACGAGTAAACGCGGCGGCCTTGCGCCCGCGCTGAAGTTTCAGGTGCTTCAACACGCATGCAGTGTCTCCAGCTTCCTCGCCGGCAGTGTCCTGACTCACCGTCGCCGTCTCTGTGTTCTCCGCCTGAGTCGAATCTTCCATCATCGGAATTTTCTTCTCGATCCGACTGGCACACACGAGGCACAGCTTGTAACCTACAATCAATCACTAAGTTGGCGACGGGCAGCCACGAAGGTCATCAGTTCTCACTTCAGGCCAGGACCATCCGGCCCGGAGGACCAGAAAATGTTGGCGACGCTTTCGTTCGAATCTCCTTTCATGGTGTGGACTGTATTTCATCGCGCATCGCACAGCATTTGGTTGTTTGGTGACCGAGATCCAGGAGGAAAATGGTTTAACCCTCGCATGTGTAGGGGGGGGGGGTCGGATGGACCCCCCCCCCATGGTTTTTCGCAAATAACTCGCGTAAAAAGCGGCCGATCGCGACGAAATTTTCAGTACCCTCGCATTGATCAATTTAACACCTACCCTGAAAATTTCATGACCCTGACCCAAATGACCTTTGACCTGTGACCTCTTTTCCGAGACCATGTTTGGCCGGAATCGCGATTTCGCGTATGTCGGCTCGCACTAGCCGCGTGTTTGCAAGCTTTTCGTGGTTTCAAACGTTCAAACATGTGATTTGATGTTACTCCCGTGTGTGTCAAGGTCTTCTGAAGGTCAGGTCAGGTCATTGACCTTTGGTGACCTCGGATGACCTCGGGTCACTTTTTCGAGTTTTATATGTTTCTAGGCTAGTTTTTGGAGCTGAATTCGAATTTAGCAACCATTTGAACATTTACGAAGTAGTTTTGGTGACTTCGTAACATGTTACGAAGCTGTCAGAGGCGGTTGACACGTACTACGAATACCCGTCACGACGCCTACTGGTTGACCTGACCTGACCTGACCCGACCTGGTCTAAATGCTTCAAGACATCATCTGTGATCAAAACTAACACGATATTCGTGATCAGCACCCCGAAAAACCCCTTAGCAGCCACACTTTACGACTTTCTAACAGGTCCCGATTTTCCCGACTTTGGGTCATTGACCTGACCTGGAAGGTCAACCAATGACCTAGGACCTTAAAATTGGGTATCATCGGCTTCCTCTCGTCACGGGCAACACGCTCGTTTTTTCCGCGAAGCTCTAGCTCGATCAGGGGCCAAACGGCAAGGGGGGGGTCCAACCGACCCCCCCCCCCTACACATTAGAAGCTGGCAAACGCCGCACACATGCGAGGGTTAATTGGAAAATTGGGAAAATAAATGTTATAACCTATCACGTTAGCCTAGTTAAGATACAACTAAATATTGGATACAGGATAGAGCGCCGGATGCCGACGACTGAGAAAACTCCTTCTCAGGGAGTATATTTGGACCTAATAAAGAGCGCCGGATACCGACGGCAAAGGAACCCCCTTCTCTGGGCGTATGTTAGGGCCTAAATAAGAGAGCGCCGGATACCGACGACAAAGGAACCCCCTTCTCTGGGCGTATGTTAGGGCCTAAATAAGAGAGCGCCGGATACCGACGACAAAGGAACCCCCTTCTCTGGGCGTATGTTAGGGCCTAAAATATGAGAGCGCCGGATACCGACGTCAAAGGAACCCCCTTCTTAGGGAGTATGTTAGGGTCTAAAATATGAGAGCGCCGGATGCCGACGACAAATGAACCCCCTTCTTAGAGAGTTTTAGGAATGTTTTAGGATGAAAAAAGGATAGTCACTAGTCAGTAGACCTGGTCACCGGAACCGATACGCCTGCCGCATCTCCGTCGAATATCTCAACTGTGTGTAGACCGCGCACTGTTTCACTTCTCACTCGGGCTTCTCACACACTTTGTCTTCTAGTTCACTATATTTGGCGGACAAGGCAGCGAAACGTACCGGGAAGAGAGCGGGGCAGCGCAGTGTCCCCGTCGAAGTCGAAAGGTGAAGTGAGGGCCGGGGGTGTTTACAACTAGTTTATATACAGCGACAGGGGGTGAAACAAGACGCGTTGAGGACGGTCAGAGCACACAGAAAAGGCTAAAAATGGCCCGGGCGTCCAGCGCTCCACCCGGAAGACACACACGCTGGGCGCGCACGTGCGTGCCCCACACAATGGCCCGGACCTGGGCCGGTCCTACGCAAACAGGGAGCCGCCCTGCCGCGCCGGCCGGCCAGCCGGGTCAGAGGGGACGCCAGCGTCCCGCGACCGCGGACGGCGCTCGGCTCGGCGGCGCGGCGGCGGTTCGGCTCAGCATCGCTGAGTCTCTCGCCCGTACCGCCTTGCATAGGTGCAATTTGTCGGCAACACATATTGCAGAACATCTCTCATCACTACCAACAGGATCAATTTCAATTAATTTTAAACCAAGCCTGAAGTCAAGTCGCTTCCAACGCTTCTTCAAACTGTATACCCTAGTTTCAGTTGCTTAAAAATTTCTATTTTGACATTAACGTCTCAGAAAACCGGGCCGTGGGGATACGACAAGTGATGGCACGTGATGACATAGGCCGCCCGTGAACACTTTATATTTTGTTTTATAACGTATGGATCACCTAAATTTCACGTGCGATGAATAGCTCAATGCTCAAAACACCATACAGCGCCAACCACTGCTTCTACCTAACGCTGTCATATCGACAACCCCACCCCATTTTCGTCCTTTCATAATTCATCCTGCGAATCTACAAACGCCATGCCATGCTTCATTGTTCCATCCTACAAACCACGACTCCAACAAACTAGACTCTAGACTAAATCCGGCATCGACAAGCTCTCTTCAGCAGCTGCATCCTATTCCTCCAGCGCTTCATCAGTGGTGAAGCAGACGACGCTGAAGGTCGAGTTGACACAGTCCATGTTGTACCAGTAGCTGTCCTTGGTGTAGGCGCAGTCTCCGAGGAAGATGTCTTCGTCGGGGTTGTCGGTGGCCCAGCGGTAGTAGGAGACGTTGGAACTCGGCCAGAACCAGGGGTCGTACTCGGAGTCGCGGTAGAGGCCCAGCCAGACGGCCAGGCCGTCAGCTAGCTGGTCGAGCTGCGGAAGAAGGTGATACATGCACGTGACATGCACATGAGCGAGAGGAGCACCTATGGTCTGAGCGGGGTCAGGCGGGTGTGTTGGATCACTACAAAGAGCTCGAGGGGTTTGAGCAACGTTTGAAGTGAGCAACGCTGTACATATGCTGGGCATTGGGCAATTGACAGTAACTGTGTGGGGAGAAGGTGGGTGCTTTGGTTTGGCGGCAGCGCACTTCTGAGCTCACAAAACTTGGGTACTGTCACTGACGTAATTGGCGTGACTTATCATCAATTAAATGACATCATTGCACAGGACCATTTAAAACTCTCAATCAGTGGCGGCGGAAGGTAATTTGGGATGGGGGGGGGCACCGCTGGCGGATCCAGGGCTTGGGCGCGGGAGGGGGCTACGGAGACAAACCTAGGGTACCCCCAAATCCTGTTTTCTCATCGGATTTAGGCCACTTACTTTTCGTCACAGCCCTGATACGATATTTTTTTTAAATATATATTTTTTTTTAATAAATGGTAGGCCACCTGACACCACTGGCGGATCCAGGGGGGGGGGGGGCATTTGGGGCAACTACCCTCGCGTCGCCCGAAATCCAGGATATTTTGCGGCTTTTCGAGAATATAGCGAAAGCTAAACTTTTATTCGCCAGAGACCAGACAAACGTGTATCACATACACCCATGCACTGCATCACATACACTAAAGTGACGCGGAGCAGCCATCAACTGCCATGCCCCGAACACTGGCACTCTTTTCTGGGGATGGTTGCGCACGAACTCTGATAGGATGAGCTCAGGGTCCAGACCTTTCGCTATATCCTCATGGAGGCTTAGAAGCATGAGGCTGCACAGTCGCTTCTGGCCGATTGTGGAGCGCAAGTCGGTTTTGATTCTGCGCAAAGTTGAGAACGATCTTTCAGCTGTCGCTGCGGACATCGCTAGCCAATCAAATCAAAATGTTTACTATGACATTGGGCCTGGCAACAATATAAATCTAAATTACTCGCACTATCAACTTATTAAAAACGTACTCAGCCAAACTGGCATACGTTCATGACGTAGTATCGAAGCATTGTGGTATTTTATCGAAAACAATTTTGCGGGGGCAAAAAGATATGTTTGCCCCCCCACCCTGGGAGATGGGGGGGCGCCGTGCCCCCGCTGCCCCCCCCGCTTCCGCCGCCACTGGTATCATGTAAAGTCGCCGGAACTTCGACAGTCATTACCGTGAGCTGGTCCTCGTAGTTGTGTACTTCTGGCAGCGTTGCAGTCGGCTCAAAATCACGACAGGCCACTTCTGCATCTTCTGCGGTAGTTTTGAAGAGATCTCCGGGCAGCGGCAAATAACAATCGCCGTCTCCCGTGGCAACCCAGTTTGAGTCCGGGCACAGCAGCGCCGCCCTGGCGGTGAGAAGGAGAACTACGGTGGCAAGGGGCGACATGGTGCTGCCGTCTGGAGGGAGGCGCTCGCTGCAACCGGCTTTTGATGCTGCGGTTTCTCAGGGGCGGAGCCGGAGGTAAGATAGGACGCTGGTCACTGAGTTTGAAGGTGCCTTATCGGTGGAGACAGATGCGAACTTCACGCGGAGCTTTGGAAGCGCTCGCTTCTCGAAAGTGTTCTAGCTGCTAAAACCTAAAACCAACAACTTACCTAGGTATATTAAAAATACATTTTTTGGACGATCGGCTGGCTAATAAGTTAATATCCATGGCGCATGGTATTGGTGCTCTATACTAACCGAAACCTCTGATTTTATCGCATGTCAACATGACCTAACCAATAAATGAAAATAAAATCGTTAGGTGATGTTCGAGACAGAAAACAATGTTAACGTCAAAACACTGGATAGGCACCTATACGCCGGGGCATCAAAAAGTTTCGTTCTTCACCATGAACTAGAAATGACAGAATTTGATTTTCTGTACATGACGGCCGTTACTCTTCGACATATCACCATACATGACTACAAACTTCTTCCGTCGTTTCTTGAGCTGCCTCTGGCAGTCATCGCTGAACTCTTCCCACTCCGGTAAATGACTGCTTCACCTGATCAATGACGTCATTTGTCATCAAATCACCGGTCATGCTGTGGATTCTTCATTTCTCGGAACACTCCAGAGTCACTTAATACCAGGTCAGATGAGATGCGATAGGATTTAACCCTCGCCCGTATAGGGGGGGGGGTCGAACGGACCCCCCCTCGGTTTTTCGCGAATAACTCGCGTAAAAAGCGGCCGATCGCGACGAAACTTTCAGTACCCTCGCGTTAATCAATTTTACACCTACCCTGAAATTTTCATGACCCTGACCCTAATGACCTTTGACCTGTGACCTACTTTTCGAGACCATGTTTGGCCGGAATCGCGATTCGGCGTATGTCGGCTCGCATTAGCCGCGCGTTTGCAGTCTTTTCGTGGTTTCAAGCGTTCAAACATGGGATATGATGTTGCTCCCATGCATTAGGGTGGGTGTCAAGGTCACCGGAAGGTCAGGTCAGGTCATTGACCTTTGATGACCTCGGTTCACTTTTTCGAGTTTTGCATGTTTCTAGGCCAGTTTTTGGAGCTGAATTCGAATTTAGCAACCATATGAACATTTACGAAGTAGTTTTGGCACCTTCGTAACATGTTACGAAGCTGTCAGAGGCGGCTGCCACCTACTAGGAATACCCGGCTGGTTGACCTGACCTGACCTGACCCGACCTGGCCTAAATGCATGAAGACATCATCTGTGATCAAAACTAACATGATATTCGTGATCGGCACCCCGAAAAACCCATTAGCAGCCACGCTTTACGACTTTCTAACAGGTCCCGATTTCCCCGACTTTTGGGTCATTGACCTGACCTGGAAGGTCAACCGATGACCTAGGACCTTAAAATTGGGTATCATCGGCTTCCTCTCGTCACGGGCAACACGCTCGTTTTTTCCGCGAAGCTCTAGCTCGATCAGGGGCGAAACGGCAAGGGGGGGGGGGTCCAACGGACCCCCCCCCCCCCTTATACGTTCGCGGCTGGAAAAACACCAATACGGGCGAGGGTTAATGCCCACTTCATTAAGTTTCTTCAATCGCATCTCAGGACGAATGAGCGGGGACGTTGTCAGTGAGGATAAAACATCTTTTTTCAGTGGCTTTGCTCTAGAGCATCTCCAAACTTCTTCAAAATGCTTAAAAGTAAATGCTAATTATTATCTGAACCTCATCAAGGCAGTCGGTAATGACTTTCCTACGCCAGATCCAGAACACTGACAGCATTGGCCTTCTCGGCTTCTGCATTTTCGCCTTATGATAAGAACTGAAGGGCATATGCGCTTTGCCTTAACTTCTTGATCATCTCTTCTGTCTCTGGATCCAATGCATATATATACCCAGCATTCGTCAAAAGTCCCCAAACTATCAAAGGTCATTGTGATATCCGTCTCGGAACGAAAAATTAGTGTAGGGGAGGATGGGGTAATTTGGCCGGCAATATAATTAAACCGCCCCCACCTCTACGATATCTGACAAAAGCGAATGAAATTCTAGCCACTATTTATGTGTCATTGGTGGAACTAATCCGTGGAAAATTTTCAAAAAATCTCCCCTTCGTAATTTTCGTCAAAATCGTTAAAACATGAATTTGATTAGAAAATGGTAACTTTTACCTACTTATTCCGTTCGAAAAATTATATAGCATGTGCCATGCAAGATTACTTTACTCGTGCCATGTACAGGGTGATTTTTTACAGGGCAAAAAGTTTTTAAGCCTAGAGAATACCAAAACATATAACAAACGCCAAAAAAGTATATCCATGTGAAAGGAAATTGTTTGTCATTTTGTTTTCAGGATCTTTTAAAGACTTCTTGGGACTCATTCTGTTGTGAAGTTCCGTGAAAATGGCGCACAACAAAATGTTTTCCCCAAAATCGCCAATTACTCCAGGCTTGCGTGCATTAATTAACCCGCGCCCTGCTGGGGGTCCTGGATTTCCACGCCCTGCTGGGGGGGGGGGGGGTGTTTGAACACCCCCCCTTGTAACTCGGCTCCTGGGCCACGTAGCGATACGCGGAAGGCGGCGTTCGAAAGAGCGTCAAAAATAATAACGAAATCACTTCGGTCAATTTTTTGGTCAGGTCAAAGGTCAGGTCACCAGAGGTCATTGAAGGCAAAATTTCGCCGATTTCCAGGTCGAATGTCGAAAATTTCCAAGAAGCCAACGCATAACTCGGGAACCAATAGAGCTACAGCGCCGCGGAAAAGCGCATTCGATAGCCCTATTAACGCCCTTTCTGAGTAATTCTCTCAGATTTGACCTAACGTCAACGGTTTTGCCTGCAGGGGGCAAAAACTGCAAAAATAGCCGATTTTTTCGAAAACAGTTTTTCTGCAATAACTTATGACCCAAGCCTTGTACGAGCTTACTTTTACCGGCATCGTGTTCCTCTCGTCAAGACGCATCGAATGAACTATGACTTGACCTTGAAAGGTCAACTTGAAAATTTGACCTCAGGTCAAGGTCATGACCTGACCGGAAAGGGTCATGTTGCATATCAGTCGATCCGTATCGTCGAGCTGAACACATCTAAGGCGTTTTCATCGCTCTAGCATGCCTCTATCAAAAGTTATTTGCGAAAAACTGTTAGATACCATTCGTGACCTAAGATGACCTCAGGGCATAAACAAGGGTCACGGACACCATTTTCAAGTTCAGTGTGTCTAAACCACTTGTAATTCGGTGTTTGGGAGTGTTTGTAATGTCTTTCATCCAAAAGAGGCGCATTTCAATTTTCTCCCATTGACTTATAATGGGGAGGTCGCAAAATTGACCTGACCTTAGGTCATCGACATCAAAATTCTGAGATATACATTTTGTACATGCTATTGCTCTCAGCAATCGCTGAAAGTTTCAAAGCGATCGGTCACTCGGTGTAGCTATGACAGACATTGAAAGTTTTTATGAGGTGAGGTCACTTCAAGTGACCTGGTGACCTGACCTTGAATGACCTTGGTCTGAAATTTTCACAACATGTGTAGAATTGATGTATGATAAGGTGTACCAAAAATGGCGGCGCTCCGCGCCGCCGTTTTTGAGATATTTGCGAAAAACCACAAGGGGGGGTGTTCAAACACCCCCCCCCCCCAGCAGGGCGCGGGTTAAAACTGTGCTCACTTCGAGCACGTTCTGTAAGCCTAAACGGAGCTCAAACTCAAAGTTTGTGTGTGCAAATGAAATGTCACTGTCAGAATGTGCTTTTTACAAAGATATACATTTGCTGTCAGTTGATCTGTTTTCTGGTACCGCCATTGCTCTTTACTTTTTGCCCTGTATAAAAAATCACCCTGTAGAATTCGGGCTGTGGATAAATTTCGACAATGTGGTCCCATTGCTTAGGATATTCAGCGTTTTCAAGAGTAATTTTATGCATTTCCGTATTACCGTAACGACTTTATAGACACAGCTTTTCAGAATGGCAAGGCGGGATAATTTGGCCGGTGCTAGTGGAGCAGCTTTGACGGTGCTCTCAGGATCGCTATGCTGGGACGGCCGACTTGATAAGGTCGTCGTGCCGAGCCGGTTGGGTTTACCCTTTTGCATGTGGCATTGCGGCACAGTCTGCCTCCTAGGGGCTCTTCAAGACACTGCGCAATGCAACACGAAGAAGATGTTAGGGATCTATTCAACCCAAACTGATAGTCACATCCCAGCTCACAAACACTATCGACAACTCGTTAGCTTGCAGACATCGGAAAGTTACGAGATGTGAGGATTTGAGACTGAGTTCGGGTTATTTCATTGATTGCTAAAAAAAATGAATTGAAATTAGTCGATTTTTTCCTTACTAGAAAAAATTAACGTTTTTTCCCAAACAATGTCTTCTCACTAATCGTTAATTACAAGTTTCACTGTAAAATATTTTTACCACAAATAAAATGGAAATGTTTGATTGAACAGTGTATGCACAGGAAGCGCATTTTCAGTTGTGCTGGAAAATGCTGAAATAAGACCTGAGTCAAAATCATTCGAATATAAGTCCGACACTGAGTCAGCCTAAAAATGCGCGTAGGACACATGTCATTGCTGACGCTGAAGCTGACTCGCCTGTAAAATCAAATCAAGGCCCTAAATAAACACCGGCCAAATTGTCCCACCCCACCGGCCAAATAATCCTGCTAGTGGGGCAATTTGGCCGCTTTGCAGACCTTTGTAAATGTCAAAATTCGGCCCTAAGTAGCTGCTCAACTCAATCATTTTCAGTTTACTATACAAGAAAGTACAATGAATGTTTCACCTGTCCGCGCTGAGAGAGTGCAGAAATATGTCGCCAAGTTCGAGCTACAGCGCTTCCTAAAAAAACGACCAAATTACCCAGCGCTTCCTAAAAAATCGACCAAATTACCCCATCTTCCCCTAATATCTTATGTCGGTTTCAAGGAGAGCTGACGAATCGGGATGCAACTCACACCTGCAGCTGCTATCTAACCTCTACCAG